AATGGCAACTATGGCATCATCTATCTTCCCAATTTGGTGTTTGATAGGCTTTATCGCCTCCACTTGACTTTCCCATCGTGTGGCACTCAGTGGTTTCAGTGTCAGAGAGAATGTTCCCAGATGTTGCTTCAAAATTTGCCATTGATGAGTTGATGCAGAGAAAAATACATAGATGCTTTGAATTACATTAAAAAATTCAGCAGCCTCACTAGAAGCTGATGCTGCATCACTGACCACCAACTTCAATGAATGAGAACAGCATGGGACAAAAAAAGCTCGAGGGTTTAACTCTTGGATCCATGTCTGCACTCCTCTGTTCTTTCCTCTCATGTTGGCACCATTATCATAGCCCTGACCTCTCATGTCAGCTATCTCAATTCCTGTATCTCCCAGCTTTTTAAGAAGCACATTTGTCATACCAGCTCCTGTAGTATCATCAGTGTGAATGGCCATTGTTTGGATTAGAGATCTGGAACAAGAAAGTGATTGGAAGGATGGATGGATTGAGCATTTGGGGTCAGATTCCCAGCTAGTATAAACTGGTGTAGCTCCCTTGAAGTCAATGAAGCTATGTTGGTTTATGCTGAGGATCCAGCTTTAGGTCTTCAACAGGTCTGTGAGGAGGATCCCTGATATGAAATGAAAAGAAAGAACATGGAAAAAACACGTACAGAGCAAGGATGATAGAGAGGAATTTTGCAGAAACTGCCAATGAGAGAGGATCCTGAAATAGCAAGGCACCTGAGGAAGTTATACAGGCATCACATTTCCAAGATAGATGAACATAAGTTATCACATGAAGCCACCAGCATGACCAAACAAAATTTATGAGCATGTAAATGAAAATGACAAAATTATAAATTCCCATTAATGTCTTATCTAAACCTGTGGTTCTCAAACAGAGATACACGTATCCCAGAGAGTAGGCAGAGGTCTTCCAGGGGATACATCAACTCCTCTAGATATTTGCCTAGTTTTACAAAAGCAAAAGCAATAATGCAGTCAGTACAAACTAAAATTTCCTACAGACAATGACTTGTTTGTACTGTTCTATATACTGAACACTGAAATGTAAGTACAATATTTATATTACAATTGATTTATTTGATAATTGTATGGTAAAACGAGAAAGGAAGCCATTTTTCAGTAATAGTGTGCTGTGACACTTTTGTATTTTTATGTCTGGTTTTGTAAGCAAGTAGTTTTTAAGTGAGGTGAAACTTGGGGTATGCAATCCAAATCAGACTCCTGAAGGGGGTACATAGTCTGGAAAGGTTGAGAACCACTGATCTAAACTGTCTTTCACTATCTGCAATTTTGGTGCCTCCATCACCTGCCTTGCTATTCTGTTTCACTGCTCAGTTATTCTTGCTGTGACTGCATTTTCCTAATATCTAGCCTAAATTTTTCCTTCTTTAACTTCAGACTCTTGCTTCAAGTCCAACCACCTTAAGAATCAATTTAAACAATGTGGCAGAGGCTTTTTAAGTGTTTTGAAAGAACAGTTCTATGATGTTATTTTGGGATCCCATGCTTATTTATACAGTGGAGGGCCAGCTTGAAGAGCTTATCAAAATCACACACAGATCACTCCTCTGAGTTAGTTCCTTATTTTTACTTCTCTTTTTCTTTTTTCTGTGCATGCTTAGGTCTTGGGTTACTGTATTACACCTATAGGGCTAGAGTGTGGTTTTTTTTAAGCCAGGGCCCTGCATGGGGCTAGTGTGGAGCCACGCCACAACACACCGTCAAGAGCATGAAAGAGATTGTACCTCACAGCAAGCAGAATCTTTCTGGTGCTGCTCCTTGGGCACATGGAGAGTATAATTTGCTCGATCCATTGGGATGTTAACCTTTAGTGCCCTTGCCAGACTCCACGGGCCACTGTGAAGCTGGGGAGGGGAAATCCAGGGCCTTACCTCCTTCTTGCCATTCCCTGCCTCTTTTCCAGCATCCTGCTCCCCGGGAAAAGCAGAAGCAATGGTCCCTTTGCTCCCCAGAATGCAGGGAGCAGAGGGACAGCTACTAGGAGTGTGTGTGTAAGTTGGGGAAGCTTCTTACTCTCCCATCTGCCTTGGCATGGTTGCCCAGAGGTTGCTCACAAACTGGGACATAATGTTGCTTATGATCATTTTATCCTATCTTTAAGATTATAAGTAGAAATGTAAATCATAAAGAGTAAGGAAATTCCTCACGTTCTATGTAGGGCTAAGTACTGCCCTGGCTAGTGCAGCAGGAATGAGAATTGCCGGGCAGGATTCTATGAGTGAGCTGGGAGTGGGATGAGGACGTGTATGGGGCTGCACTTTGCTGCTGCTCTGATCAGGAGCACCCTGGGTTCCTGGGTGACAGATGAATCATTTTGGTGACAACAGGCAAGTTGAAACATTAGCTGGCAGCTGAGAGATTCTGACCTGATGCTGCTGAGGCATACGCAGCATGACCCTTTAAGAGATTCTGACACATAAGAGAACTAGAAGATGTAGCACATGGTTTGTAATGGGTTTTTTTATTTTGCATTTATTTTTGTTCTAAAGCACTCTCCAGGATCCATAGGAGGCAGTCACGCAGTCACCCAGTTTGCAAGTATAAAATCAGATTGTGCAAGTGCACGTATGTACATGGACTTTTGCCTCCTTTTTTGTAAAAATATCTCTCTGTAGGTTTTATTGCATTCTATTTTCATTAAAATCATGATTATCCCCATCCCCACATAGAAACATGACTGTATTTGTTTTCCATTTTGGTTTTGCAGTTCTTGCTATTACAGCAATGACTTTCACTTCTGCAACAAGCCAACATATATCAGAGATTACGTGCATGTTAATCAACCAGCAGAATAAAGATTTAAGAACACTGGAATCATCAGTATTTCTGGAGGTAAGCTAACAGTGAATGAATAGCCAACCACAAAAAATAAAAATAAAAAAAAATAGCCTTATCCGAGATTAGGAAAAATAATAGTAGAGAAGGAAGCTTTGAAATCCATGCTGAGTTTAATATTTTTGAACTAGAAATAAGATAAATATCTAAAATGGAACGTTTGATCAATACTATGAGATTGTCTCACCTAATTTGGCCTAAATTATTCACCTCTGAGTATATTTTGAAATGTATAAAGAAAAGGAAGTGTACAATTAGAAAGACAAATAATTTGGACATGGACTACAGCATCAAAGATGGATGTGTGGATCAAAGATCAATTTTCCCTTCCAGTGCTGAATTATTGGAGGGCTTGAAGGTCAACAACAGACCCTGTGCAACTGAAACCTGCTATTTCTTTTAGAGACTTAATTATAGAGACAATCCTATACAATCTTTTAATTCTTGGACAAATAAATGGATAGTTCTGCCACAACCAGAAGTAAACTAAGAAGAAGGTCCATGATTTTCCAGTGCTGGGTACCAAAAACGGAACACTCAAAATTGCAGCAACATGTTCGTCTGAATGCAAGAACATGAAGACTGTCCACCTCCTCTTGTCACAGAAAATCAGATAGCACACATTTTTATGAAGATTCCCAAGGGTTTCTATGGGATGGTAATCCCATTTCTGTAATTGTATGTTCTCATCTGTATAATGGTGCTTTCTACAATATTCCACCAGTATTCACGTTCTGCTGCTTATGTCACATACTTTTCCATATCAGTCAGCTAATTGTTAATGTGATAATCCCATTTAGTAAATTCAAGTTTTGTAGGGCTGGACTGTGCCATTGTATTTCGCTGAGCAGAATAAGGGGGTTTCTCTAGCTACTCCCCATTGGCAAATGGGCAGGGAAGTGGAAGAGATGGGCAGGCACTTGGATGGAAATTTGGCTTCTCCCCCTGTTCCCCTCCATCCCTCAGTGGGAAGAGTAAACTGGCCAGGCAAAATGGAAGGAAATAACATACACCCTTTCATGTGCTGCAGTGAGTTATTTACTTTCACACACACACCCATACCCCACCCCACGCCAAGCAGAAAGATATCTCGGGGCTGCTCTTAGAATGGAGTAGTTACATGCCACCCTTTTACTCAGGCTGAGCCTAAAGGCTCAACTATTCTTCACTGGCTTTCAGAACCAGCATAGAATATTTATTTTTCCATTTGAGGTTCTCCTTTAGCCAGTGCTTAATTTATGCTGGGGCTTGCCAGGGCTAAGCATCAGCACCTCTAGGCTTGGCAGTTCATAGCCCTGGCATCTCTGGGCTTGCTGCATCAGTTATGAATGTAAAAAAATTGCTTGAGCCCTGGCCCCTAATTGCTTGAGCCTCAGCACCTCTTTCATTATAAATTAAGCACTGCCTTTACTGATAGACAAAAGTGAGTAAATGCATGATAAGGAAGGTCATGATGTATATAGTCTGTTCCTTGGTACAGTACAAAGCATGGAACAGAACTCCAGCAATATACAGAATGACACACAGCATGGTGCTAAGAGATTTCCTTACCTTGGGTTTGCAGTAGAGGCCTGAAGGAAAAGGATGGTCTTGCAGTTCTTTTATCCATGGAAATACCTAAAGGTAGGTGAAATCTGGAGTGAAAACTTGAGTGATGTGTGATCTTAGGCCTGGACTACACTACAAAGTTAGGTCGAAGTAAGCCCCTTGTGTTGACCTAGTTGTTGTGCATGTGTCTACACTTAAATTTGTCTCCCACCAATGTAAGTGCCACATTACAGGAATGCAGTAACACCACCTTCCCCAGAAGCACTGAGCCATGGTTGATGTACTGAGGATGGCGTAGCACGAATGTAGACACTGTGTTACCTATGTAGAGCCTAACAGTCCCCAGTAGCTTTCCCACACTGCCCGACACTGCCCACTCTGGTCACAATTGTGAAATTTACTGCCCCGGGGTCACAGAGACCATAAGGCCCCCCGCCTTTAAAATCCTGTGAATTTTTGAAATGCTTTCTCCTGATTGTCCAGCACGCCGAGCACACCTAGTAGCTCTCCATTGTTGTGCACGGCTGCCCAGCTGGCCATGCTGGCTACACATGTCAGCCGTGCTCCTGCCTAGAGTAGACAGGAGATATTGGATCTCCTGGGCCTGTGGGGAAAAGAGGCTGTGCAAGCACTGCGACAGAAACATGGACATGTAGGAGAAGATTGCACGGGGGATGCTGGAGAAGGGGTATGACAGGGATCAGCAGCAGTGCCACTTGAAAGCCAAGGAATTGTGTCGGACATATGAGAAGTCCAGGGAGACCAACAGTCATTCTGGTGCCGAGTCACAGACCTACCACTTTTACAAAGAGCTGCATGCTGTACTTGGCAGAGATCCCACTACTGCCCCACACGCCACCATAAATACCTCCAAGAAGTCCAAGTCACAGGCCCCTGGCATGAACAGTGAGGACAAGGAGGAGGTGGAGGAGGAAGAGGAGGATGGGGGACGTGCGACTGGGGAGTTCAGCTATGCTGAGAGCCAGGACCTGTTTGAGACTCTACCGCAATCCAGTCAGTCCTAGCAGTCGAGCTTGGGCGAGCCTGATGCTGGGGCAGATCCTCGGGTAGGTGTGTACATTTATTTCCCATTACCTTGATGGTACCCACAACTTAACAGGACACAGCTATAGACTTTTCATGAATTTACTTGTACTAGAAGAGGTAGTGGTACAACTGAGAGAGGCAGCGCATGAGTCTTGCATTTGGGGAGGCTGGGCACAAGTGCCAGAAGCTCCCTAGAAGTGGGAGGGGCCACCGGCACCTGGACTGTAGCCCCACTCACTGCTCTGCCCCGAGGTCCGGCTCACACTCCACCCCCACTTTGCTTTGAGGCTCTCCTTGGCCTCTTCCCCTACCCCCACTCCATCTCTTCCTGCCCCTGTTCCGCCACTTCCCTCAGGGCCTCGCCCCCACTCTGCCTCTTCCCCCGAGTTCCCCTTCCCCCGCCGCTGCTTGCTCCTCTCCGGCCCCTCCCCAAGTCCCCTTGTTCCTTTCTACCCTCTCTTGCCTTAAGAGCAAGTGACAGGGAGAGAGGGGTTGCTTCTTATACTGGCATTTCTCCCAAGCCCCTTATACCCACCACTCAGTGGTAGCATTGTTATCTGCTTTTTATTCCTCTCCAGAGTTAACCAAGGGGGTGGTGTGTGTGCATGCGGAGCAGTTTGTTTAGGTACAGAGAGATGGCCCTTGCATTCTCCTGAGAGATCTCGATGAAACTTTCATGGAGGTATTCTCAGTCCTCTACCAAAGGTTTCTAGGGATGGCAGCCTTATTTCTTCTTCCCCGATAAGACACTTTCCCACACCAGTCAGGGATAACTTCAGCAGGCACTATTGCAATACACAGGCTAGCGGAAAATGGGCAGCAGCTGTGCTCTCTGTGCCTTTGTTACCCTCAGGGGTGAGATATCAGCTAAAATCACCACCGCCTGTGGAAAATGGCGGCAGTATTCAGTGCCAGTGCCCTATACTCATAGTTTCACACAACTAAGCAATTCCCTCTTCATTTCCCTCACTCTTGGTGGACCCTTGTGCTCTGCAAAAGCAATCCCAAGCAGAAGTGTCAATAAGCCTGTCTTGTTTAAAGCTTTAGGGGAGCAAGGGAAGGGAGTTCTGAATCTTAACTTTCACTTTACATTGTGACTGTACTGGCAGTGTTACCTCTTTTATCTGCAGCTCCTGCCATTGCCATTGCGGCTTTGAGGAATTCCCTACACAAACCTGCAGAATGATTGAGCTAGATAAGGAGAAAGAAGAGGACATGGGATGACATGTTCAATGAAATCCTGCAAGCCAGTGCTGCATCAGACTGTGAGCAAAAGGCCTAGAGGGTGAACATGGTAGACAGCCTGAGGAAGGAAAGTGTGGACAGGAGAAAGTTTCCAGGAGTCCCAGCAGGAAAAGGAGAGGGAGATGCACAAGGATATAATGGGGCTTCTCCAGCAACAAAGGCAGGTGCTGCAGACTCTTGTGAACCTAGAAGTTCAAAAAATCACAGGCTCAACTCCCTTCGCAGCCCATGAAAAATTCCATTACAGCACCTCCCTACAGCCCCCTCAACATTCCATGTGACTTCACAGGCTGCTGCCCTATCCATACCACTCCATCCAGCGGGACATGAGGGACAACCACCGCTTCACATACACTTACCTGTGAAAGCCACAGTTGCTGTATGTGTAGGTAAAATGGACATGAATGTTCATTCCCTGTTAAGCTCTGTTCCATTATTTTATTAAGTTTTTAATGTATTTGCTTTTACATTTCACTGATTTTTCTTTTCCCTGGTTTTGTTACTGAATAAAATACTATTATCTGGAAAATAATTCATCTTTATTAGTGCTCAACATATGCTGCTGAGCGCCCAGCAGTTTTGAAAGCACCCACTTCCTTGTTACTGTACAGTGTGACCCGACTCATAGGATGAGTAATAAACACAGTGTACTAATCAGTGTACTGTCAAATTAATAGGTGCATTGTCAGTGTTATATTCACAGATGTACATCAAGCACCACACAATTCCTAACAGGCCCCAAAACATAAGGGCCAGGTAGAGCACAGTACACCATAATGTATTATTGTGGCTCACTGTTAAAGTGCTCTTTCAAAGCCGCCCTGATCTATATAGCTCCGTGTTGAGCTCTTCTAATAGCCCTCATGTCTTTCTGTTCAAACTCAGCAGACAGCTGTTCCACCTCTGCCCTCCACTCTGGCGGCAACTTTTCCCCCTTTGCTTCATAAATATTATGCAGGTCACATCAGGCAGCTATAACCATTGAGATGTTTTTTTCACTGAGATCCAATCTTGTGAGTAAACAACGCTAGTATCCCTTCAGTCTACCAAAAGCTCATTCAATTGTCATTCTGCACCTGCTGAGCTGGTAGTTGAATTGTTCTTTGGTGCTGTCAAGGTGGCCATTGTACGTCTTCATGAACCAGGGGAGCGAGGTGCAGGCTGGATCCCCCAGGATCACTATTTGCATTTCAATATTGCCAGTGGTAATCTGTTGGTTGGGAAAGAAAGTCCCTGCTTGTAGATTCCTAACTAGTCCTGTGTTCTTAAAGATGCAAGCATCATGCACCTTCTCTGACCAGCCAACACTGATGTCAATGAAGCATCCTTGGTGATCCAGCAGCGCTTACATAACCATAGAAAAGTAGCCCTTTCTGTTGATGTATTCTGTGGCAAGGTGGTCTGGTGCCAAAAATAGGTGTTGAATACGTGGGAACCCCATTACTACAAATCCATCCACTATGTTTTGAACATTGCCAAGAATCACAGTCCTGCATAGCAGAAGATTGAATGACCCTCCACACTTGCATGACAATGGCCCCCAGAGTGGATTTTCCAACTCAAAATGATTTCCCACTGACCAGTAGCAATCTGGCACTGCAAGTTTCCACAGTGTGATCACCACTCGCTTCTCCACGGTCAGTGCAGCTCCCATTCAGGTGCTCCTGCGCTGGAAGGCTGGGGCGAGCTTGGCACACAGATCCAGGAATGTAGCCTTGCACATCCACAAGTTCTGCAGCCGCTGCTCATCATCCGAAACCTGCATCACGATGCGATCCCACCAGTCAGTGCTCATTTCTTGGGCTCAGTAGCCAAGATTCCCCAATCTGCAGCTGCTCCACGAACACCACCATAACCTTGAATTGGCTCTCGCTCTCTGGCCTCCAAGAAATCGTCATGTTCCATGCTGATTCAGTTCTTCTTACGGCTCTGCAAATACTGAAGGATCATGCATCTTGTGCTTGCAATGCTTATGACAATACTGCAGAGCTGTGCGGGCTCCATGCTTCCATCAGAGATGAAGGACAGTGTGGAGGGCCACACAGGTTCATTGGACTTTTAAAAAAAGACACAAAAAATATGGGATATAGATGACATTATGGGATGCAGACAGTTGCATGCTGGGAAGTTGACCCTTTGCTCCCAGTCAGCCCTGCACAACTCATTTCTGCCCCACCATGCAGTGCCAAAACATCCCAAAAGAGTGCACTGGATGGTGGCGGTTTGCACACTGGAATACCTGCCCATGGTGCACTGCGCTGTGCATCGACACAAGCACTCCTGGGGAATATGTTCAGCACTAATGCAAGGATCCAAGTGTTTCACACACACGCATGATAAGCTCTGGCAGCTTTATGCCAATGTGACTTGCGTGAACCAAAGCTTGTAGTGTAGACGTGGCCTTAATCATTAGGCAAAAGTAGCACATTACTGACTGAACTGCTACTAACTATACTGTCAGCCCAGAAAGCAAAACTTGTTAGTATAGTGCAAATCTTCCTGCATTTGTTCATTCAGTAGAATTAAACATATTTGATGAGCTAAATTGAAGAGGGAAACAAGAATGAAAGTATAGTATTAAGATTACTTTTGTTTATAATTACTATGCATATATATGTTATCAGTAGGCATAGGCATATTTTTAATAGAGTGAAGTCTTTTAATAGGTGAGCTTCCTTTTTAAATGTTTAAATCTGAAAAATCCAGTTACCACCATTAGACATAGCAATCTGTTTTATTGCAATGCAGATGCCTAGTATTTCGGAAGATCTTGGTTGTGATTTGAGTTCTCAAAGCACAGAGAATGTCTATGAAACAGCAAAAAGTGTGGAAGTTGACGTGCTAGGAGACATTGAATTAAAAGTGATCATGAATATTTCAGAGACCATTTCATGCCTTTGGGTCTTCAAAGAGAACCAAGTTGACTGCAAACCCTCACTGGACTCAGAAAACCGGTAGGTAAAGGGCTGTACTGAATCAAAAAACCTATATGGGATACTTTCATTAGAGCAGATGGGGTATTTTCCATATGAAAAGGCTTATTTATCATTTCTTTTCACATTATTTGTTATATTCCTAAACCTATCTATCTTAATTATTATCACCACTAAACTGCATGTTGATAAATTGCTGTTTATGCACTAAGAAAGCACTGAACGCTGGCTTTATAGTTTACAATATAGTGATTCTTTGCATTTGTATAGCATGTTATATCTGAGGATTTCAACAGATTTTACAAACATTCATCAATTCAAGCATCACAGTGCTCAAGTCAAGGAAACCAAGGCACAAAAAGGTTAATGCAATGCCTTGCCCAAGGTTACACTGCAGTTCAGCATCAGAGCCTAGAATACCACCCTAATTCTCTTGACTGTGTTCTAGCCACAAGTCCATACTTCCACCCAGACAGCTGAGAATAGCTGGGGTAGGACCAGAGGCCTAGTGTAGATGATTCCCTTGCAGGGTGAAACCCATGGGATGGCTTCTTGGTGAGGAAATCTCCATGGGAATCCTGTTGCATGGGCCCCGATTCAGGAAAGTACTTGAGCACATACTAGTCTATCCCTATTCAGGACAGTACTTAAGCAAAACTTTGAATCCCACTTGGGATGAGTGCTTAAGTGCTGTCCTGAATAGGGATGATTACATGAAACAGGGCCATTGTCTATGAAAGCACTTTGGAGATTGAATGTACTGCATGTGTGTTAAGTACCACTAGCCTAGAATTCTGTTTGCATGGGTTAAGTGTAATGCCAGTGCATTCTTCAGCCCACTACCCTCTATCTCAGGGGTTCTCAACTTTTTACTTTCTGAGCCTGCCCCCTCCCTCCCCCAACATGCTATATAAACTCCACAGCCACCTGTGCCTGCATATAAAAGCCAGGGCCTGCTTTAGGGGGTAGCAAGCAGGGCAACTGCAGGGGCCCCATGCCCCCCCCCCCCGAAGCTAAGCTGCTCAGGCTTCAGCTTTAGCCCTGGGAGGCAGGGCTTAGGGCAGCGTGGCTTTGGCTTTCTGCTCTGGACCTCGGTGACTCTAATGCCAGCCCTGCTTGGCGGACCCCCTGAAACTTGCTCACGGCCCCCCAGGGGGCCTCAGACCACTGGTTCAGAACTGCTGCTCTATCTGACATGAATGTTCTCTAATGTATTTTCTGTTTTACAGATCTGTTGTTTCGCTGGCCTTTTCAAAAATAAAAGAAACTCAAGCTGGAAAATACACCCTTGCAGTTCAAAGTGAAAACAATAACTACACAATAATGTTTACAGTTCTCGTAAGGAGTAAGTATGTGTCAAAGCAAGGGGCTCAGACTATCCATAGCTTGAGAAGGGGGAGGCTGAAGCCTGTACATGACCAAGCCCTCTCTAAGCAGTGAAACTCTGTCAGTTCTATGAGACTTCCATGAGACTTCTCCCTTCCTCAATTGTCTCTCCTCCTTCTCTTTCAGTTCTTGTATTGTGGGCTATTTTCCTTCTCACTTATTTCATGTATGGCTGCCTCATTTCCCTTGGTTCATTGTGAAGGTTAAAACGATTCTGAGTCACTACGTGTTGTTAAAGATGACATGCAAAAGATTGTTTTTAAATGGGGCTTGTGCTCATTTCTCATTCTTTGTAATGTATTACGCACACACACACGCACACACGGACATATACACATGCACAAACACAAAACAAACTATATTAAAAGAACACTATTAAGATTGCAAAATCAAGCACTCAAAAGTTCAGAAATGCCAGTTTGAAAGTTACCTGTATAACCTTAATTTGCCCCCCCTTGTGCAAATGCATTATGGTACAGTCCTTAATTACATGATCCCCTGCCTCATTCAGTGCCCAGGATGGATGGTGCTCACTTAATGAACAGCTATTCAGTATTTGCTATCCTCATTGTAAAAGTGGCCCCATGCTTTATTTATACTATTCAAATGCTGCTCTGAATCTAGAATTACTAATTTCCTCATGGGCTTTTCTGTCTTGCTCATCACTATAGTATCTGAGAGAGTAACAAGTGTTAATTTATTTTCACAACACCCCAGTGAGGTGGGGGAGTATTATCCCCATTTCACAGATGGGGAACTGAGGCACAGAAAGATCAAGATCAAAAGCATCCACTAATTTTGGGTGCCTAATTTGAGAAACCTACAACCTGATTCTTCAGAGTTCTTAACATTACATAGTGCTTTACGTGTTCAAAACAGAACTCCCACTGATTTCAATTGTAGCTGTGAGTGCTCCATACTTTGCAGGATCTCAAGTTGGGCACCTAGAAACACACAATTAGTGACCACCTGTGAAAAGTTTGGTTTAAGTGACTTGCCCTAGTCTCACCAGGCTCCTTGTCTCAATCTACTCCTTTCCCTACTCCCTGGGTGGGCTCTTGACCCGCTTTATATTCAGATCAGATTCTTTCCTCCTCTGTGCTTCCTGGGTGCCAGCACCGAGAGAACCAGAGAGACAGGTTCCCTGCTCTCATTTTCAGTACCCTGAGCACCTGGCAGGAGCCATTACAGGGAAAGAGTGGCTTCACCCCTGTAACCCTGGCTTGCAGCATGCTCAGTCACTCTGTGAGAATGGTCCATGTGTACTCACAAGGAGCTGTGAGAGGCTGAAGCGTGCTCAGTGAAGACAGATTCTTCAGAGATTTTAACTGTAAACTCTAGTCTCCACTGAGCTTGTGTGAACTGGGATTTTTTATAGGGTTATAACTTGGCCAAATGTGGGTAGATTTTCAGAGGAGTGGCAAAGGGCACATCCCTGGCAAACCTGCCAAATTTCAAATCTAAGCTCCCAAGCATCAGGGCACTAGAGCTTTTTAAAAAAAAAGTCATTTTTTTTTAAATGGACAAAACAGTGTATATTTCCCTAGCCTCATTCTTAGAAATGACTGAACTGTTTGGCCTGAATTCTCCCATTGGCATAAAAAACTCTCCTGTCAACATAGCACTGTGCGCACTAGAGCTTATGTCTGTGTAACTTATGTTGCTCAGAAGGGTGGAATATTCAGACCCCTGAGCGATATAGGTTTTGCCAACATAGGCAGTAGTGTAGACTTATAAGCAACAGGGTCTTATAATAGGTAGTGTCAGGCAACCTTTATAATAGGTGGCACTAACAGCCCTGTCTATAATAAAGCAGATCTAACAGGTTTTGTTGTTGTTTTGTTTTTAAGATTCTTTTCTGCTTGTTTTTTGTCATAGAAATAGCAGGAATATCAACTCAATTCTTCCCTCGTTTTGTTGTAGGAATTTTGTTGTAATGTCACTTGTTCTCCAGTCATCAGAGTTTTCCACGCTAAAGAGAACCTACCTTTCTAATATTAAAATAATGCAGATAAAAAAACATTTTAAAAACAATCTTATACAGATTATAAAGACACAAGCAAACAACAACAAAATGCACAAACCCAATTTTTCCCTTTGCAAGTCGCCTTTAAGATACCTAAAGTATGAATCAGGAGCAACTGTCAGTCTTCTCATCAGAAATTTTAACTTCATAATCACAGTTGAATTTAAAACAAAATCAGTGTTTTCAGTTTTAAGTGAAGTCATCATCAGTCTTGGTGCAATAAACTTTCAAGCATAGTCCAAATTGGGAAGCTGGCGGGCTCAGGGGATTGGTAATGGTTTATGGAACTTTACATCTCTAGGTTACAGATTTATGGTGGTAAAGTCATTAATGACTTTTCCACTGTGTATATTAAATGAGTTGGTTAGAAGTAGCACTCCTGAGTAGTGGTCTCAGTAGATCCTTCAAGGGTTTAATGCAAATAGATTCAGAAGCTGATTTTCAGAGGTATGAGAACTCATAACTCCAGTTGCATTGAATGAAAGCTACAGGTGTTCAACACCTCTGAAAATCAGGCCCTAGATTACCCTCTGATTCCTACAGGCAGTTCCTTGAAGTCAGGGAGATGACACATTTACCAGGTCAAGGTTGAAGAGCTTATACAATGAGGACCTTAGACAAACAGTTCTTTACTTTCTTCAAGCATTAAAATCACTTGAAAAAAATATTATAACAAACAAAATGACATAATATATAATGAACTGAGCAAAACAATTTGGCTTAGTGTTGTTAACAGCCTAAATATGAAGTATGGCAAAGCTCAAATATCCAAAGACCAAATTTTGTTCTTGAATGCCTGTGCATTGCTCTCATTGAAGTTATTGCTGTTGTTGGGAGTATGGGTATCTGAGGGTAGATTTTTTGCCTTCTGGTTTCATCTTGTACTTTGTTTATGCGTAATACAATCAGCCTTCTCAGTCTTGTTACTCACACCTTCTTGTCAACTGTTTGAAATGGGCCATCCTGATTACCACTACAAAAGTTTTTTTTACTCCTGCTGATAATAGCCCACTTTAATTGATTTGTCTCATTAGAGTTGGTTTGGGAACCCCCATCTTTTCATGTTCTCTGTGTACATATACATATATGTAAATCCTACTGTATTTTCCACTCCATGCATCTGATGAAGTGAATTTTAGCCCACAAAAGCTTATGTCCAAATAAATTTGTTAATCTCTAAGGTGCCACAAGTACTCCTCGTTCTTTTTTTATATATATATTTTATGTCTGAGTTATAGATGTATAAAACAAACAAGTCTGTCACTTTAAATAATGTTGACAGACTTCCTGAGGTAAGAATCCAACACTGATTTAGACATGTATGTAAGCAGTAGCCAGTCAACATTTCTTGTTATGACAACAGGTGTCAGTAGGGGGGAAAATTAGCATGGGGAAATAGTTTTTAGTTTGTATAATGACCCATCCACTCCCAGTCTTTATTTAGGCCTAATTTGATGGTGTCCAGTTTGCAAATTAATTCCAGTTCTGCAGTTACTCATTGGAGTCTGTTTTTCAAGTTTTTTTTGTTGAAGAATTGCCACTTTGAGGTCTGTAATTGAATGGTCAGGGAGGTTGAAGTGTTCTCCAACTGGTTTTTGAATGTTATAATTCTTGATGTCTGATTTGTGTCCATTTATTCTTTTGCGTAGAGGCTGTCCGGTTTGGTCAATGTACATGGCAGAGGGGCATTGCTGGCACATGATGGTATATATCACATTGGTAGATGTGCAGGTGAACAAGCCCCTGAAGGTGTGGTTGATGTGATTACGTCCTATGATGGTGTCCCTTGAATAGATATGTGGACAGAGTTGGCAGCGGGGTTTGTTGCAAGGATACGTTCCTGGGTTAGTGTTTCTGTTGTGTGGTGTGTGATTGCTGGTGAGTATTTGTTTCAGGTTGGGGGGCTGTCTGTAAGCGAGGACTGGCCTGTCTCCCAAGGTCTGTGAGAGTGAGGGATTGTCCTTCAGGATAGGTTATAGATCCTTGATGATGTGCTGGAGAGGTTTTAGTTGGGGGCTGAAGGTGATGGCTAGTGGCGTTCTATTACTTTCTTTGTTGGGCCTGTCCTATAGTAGGTGACTTCTGGGTACTCTTCTGGCTCTGTCAATCTGTTTCTTCACTTCAGTTGGTGGGTATTGTAGTTTTAAGAATGCTTGATAGAGATCCTGTAGGTGTTTGTCTCTGTCTGAGGGACTGGAGCAAATGCGGTTGTATCTTAGAGCTTGGCTGTAGACAATGGATCGTGTGATGTGGTCTGGATGAAAGCTGGAGGCATGTAGGTAAGTATAGCAGTCAGTAGGTTTCCGGTATAAGGTGGTGTTTATGTGACCATCTCTTATTAGCACTGTAGTGTCCAGGAAGTAGATCTCTTGTGTGGACTGGTCCAGGCTGAGATTGATGGTGGGGTGGAAATTGTTGAAATCCTGGTGGAATTCCTCAAGGGCTTCTTTTCCATGGGTCCAGATGATGAAGCTGTCATCAATGTAGCGCAAGTAGAGTAGGGGTGTTAGGGGATGAGAGCTGAGGAAGTGTTGTTCTAAGTCAGCCATAAAAATGTTGGCATACTGTAGAGCCATATGGGTACCCATAGCAGTGCCGCTGACTTGAAGGTATACATTGTCTCCAAATGTGAAATAGTTGTGGGTGAGGACAAAGTCACAAAGTTCAGCCACCAGGTTAGCTGTGACATTATCGGGGATACTGTTCCTGATGGTTTGTAGTCCATCTTTGTGTGGAATGTTGGTGTAGAGGGCTTCTACATCCATAGTGGCTAGGATGGTGTTTTCTGGAAGATCACCAATGTATTGTAGTTTCCTCAGGAAGTCAGTGGTGTCTCAAAGATAGCTGGGAGTGCTGGTAGCATAGGGCCTGAGGAGAGAGTCAATATAACCAGGCAATCCTGCTGTCAGGGTGCCAATGCCTGAGATGATGGGGTACCCAGGATTTCCAGGTTTATGGATCTTAGGCAGCAGGTAGAATACCCCTGGTCGGGATTCAAGGGGTGTGTCTGTGTAGATTTGTTCCTGTGCTTTTTCAGGGAGTTTCTTGAGCAGATGGTGTAGTTTCTTTTGGTATCCATCAGTGGGTTCACAAGTGTCCTACACATTAGAAACATGGATAATGATGTTTCCAAAATATTGCAGCATGTCTGAAAATATTTGCATTACTTTTAATAGGTAAACCAAGGAAGCCCTATTTTGTAAAAAGTGAAAACTTGGCCATTATAAACTGCACATCCGAAAGCTACCCTACACCAGATATTGAATGGTTATTTTGCAGAACACCTGATGACAGGTATGGTGCATATAATGCTACCTTTTTTTGTTTACTGAATTTTAAGGTGCAAGTCTTGATGTCTTCCTAAGCCAACAGACTTTATACAGCATGATGTATTTATTTTTGATGTGATTGAACCTGAACAACTGAAGGAGAACTGTGGAGTCAGATTTTCAAAGGAGAATGTAATGAATGCTCCCATAAAATTTAACACACACACAGTGTCCTCAAAAAACTACATGCAAAAATTGAGTGCACGAGTGCAATGAGTGAATTCACATTTTTGTATTAGCTGTAGTGTATTCTGGGAAAATTGGGCCAATGTATACTTTTGGAAACTTTAGGCACCCTAGTCTGAAAATTTTGGCCCAAGTCCAAGCATTTTTACTTGACATAGCTAATGAGTTAAATATATTTCTAACCCCATAGCCCTCTATTTTCCATTTCCCCAAAACCTAGCTATTTTGAGAATGAGTGGGGATTAAAGGTGGGAAGGGTGTCATCAGAAATTTTCTATCTAAATTTGCCTTTCCTTGTAGCTTTAAGTTTTATGTATGATAAGTGGTACTATTGGCAACATGAATATGTTCCAAGAAACATATCAGGTCATGAGTAAGTAAATTCAACATTCAGTATGTTGTCATACAGAGTGCACGTGTAACAGTGTGGATCTCAGTCCCTCTTGAGTGCCTGGACCACACAGGGATTTATGAGTCTTCAGCAGCCTTCAGACTACCAGGACTGTGTCTTCTAGCTCAAGTAGTAGAGGCTCATAGTCCAACATCCTGGGTTCAGCGCAGTCCCAGAGATGTAGGCTGAAATCCTGGGCTCATTGAGTTTTGCCATTAACTTCAAAGGAGCCAGAATTTCACTCATAAAATTACAAATGTTTACACCTACCAGTATAAGCACGAATAGTGTATTCAGGTAATATCAGCTCATTCTGTTTATAATTTCCCTAGCTCCATTGCCCTTGTGTTTTGTTTTATAATCTCCACATTTTCTAGTTCCTTTTATTCAACTACAAAATATTCCAGTTTCCTTACTATTGTTCGTATTCAGTAAATAAATGTATGTGTAATTACAGTTGCATCCATACAAATCGTAAATACAGTAAAAGAAATGGGAAAGTATATGGAGTACAGGAGGTGCCACGAGGATATTCAGCAAATAAGTTATTTCAAACAGACATACGGTGCTGCGCAACTAATGAGCTGGGCAGAGAATGCACCAAGCTGTATACAATAGGTAACATAACTATAAGATTTATTTAAATAGGGGCCTAATCCTGCCATTGATGTTAATTGCAACTATTCACTTCAGTAAGGTTTGCAAGCCTGGGCTGTAAATTTGTCATCACTGGAATAAATATGTTTAGAGGCACATTACTAGGCAAAACTAATGTAATGCTGCTATATTTCTGTCTCATATTTATCTCCTAAATTCTAATGCTTATTTATAGTTAGGGCCCTACCAAATTCACAGTCCATTTTGGTCAATCTCATGGTCATAGGATTTTAAAAATAATAAATGTCACTATTTCAGCTATTTAAATCTCAGATTTCACAGTATTATAATTGTAGGGGTCCTAACCCAAAAAGGAGTTGTGGGGTGGTCACAAGGATATTGTAGGGGGGGGGTTGCGGTACTGCTACCCTTACTTCTGCGTTGCTGCTGGTGGCAGTGTTGCCTTCAGAGCTGGGCAGCTGGAGAGCAGTGGCTACTGGCAGGGAGCCCAGCTCTGAAGGCAGAGCCATCGCCAGCAGCAGCGCAGAAGTAAGGATGGCATGGTATGGTGTTGCACCCTTACTTCTGCACTGCTTCTGGCTGGGCGCTGCCTTCAGAGCTGGGCACCTGGCCAACAGCCACTTCTGTCTGGCCACCCAGCTCTGAAGGCAGCACAGAAATAAGGGTGGCAATACCACGACCCCCCTAAACATGGGCGTCGGGTATAATAGGCCAGGGCACGCTGCCACCAGACACCCGATTGCAGGTTTGGCAGGTGAAGTTTTTGCTTTATTATGCCTCATGCAGGTTCCGGGGCAGCTGAGAAGGTGGTATGTGCTATTCAGCTTCCCGGGTTCATCAGTAATCTCCCTGGACTCCAGAAAGATTACTGATGAAGTCAGGAAGCTAAGTAGCAGATACCGCCTCCTCAGCCATCTCGGAACCTGCATGGGGCATAATGAAAGCACAGGTTCTTCTTCAGGAAGAGACGCTGCATATTTTTCTGGGTAGCTTGTGGCCTGGGGAGGAGAGGGGAGGTGCGGCTGCGGCTGGCCCGGGGCTCCTCCAGGCAAGTGGGGGAGAGGGGACGACTTGGGCCTCATCTGGGTGGGGGGGGCCTTGGGGCTCTTCCAGGCAGATGGGGGTGGGGCATGTAGCTCCGGTCATAGGGGGGGACAAGGGGTCTTGGGGCTTCAGCTGCAGGGGGTGGGGGGCTTGGGGCTCCGGCCGGGCGCGGCGGGGGCAGAAGGGGTGGAGCTGGGGGCTAGCCTCCCTGAAGGGGGGCTCCACCCGCTACCCATGCCCCTAAAATAACCTTGCAACCCCCTTGCAATTCTCTATTGGGTCAGGACCCTCAGTTTGAGAAACGCTGGTCTCCCCTGTGAAATCTGTACAGTATAGGGTAAAACAAACAAAAAAACAGATTTCATGGGGAGAGACCAGATTTCACGGTCCATGACGTGTTTTTCATGGCCATGAATTTGGTAGGGCCCTATTCATAGTACATTTAAAAACAAATTGTTGTGTTATTTTACATTTCATAAGTAACTGCTATTTTTTCACACAGATCTTTAACATCTACTTTTAATAAAAAATATTTTTAATTTTTGTTTAACACTGATATTAAGTTTTTTTAATAAACTTACTTTGATTGGCTTAATTCTGTGCTGAATTGCACGCTGTGTGAATACACGGTTATTGCTGGATTTGAAAGTCAGGACAGAATTTGGTTTTATTTATTTAAATGTTAGACTATTATAATTCATTTTAATGTTAGTTATAAATCTGGAAAAATAGTCTGTTTATCATTACAAATACAATAATAGATGCAAAACTATGGGTGCTTACAAATGTGAAAATGAGGTGTGGGAGGGAAGGAAAAGTTTAAATAAGTAATTTTCCCCATAGTAAAATATAATTTCATTTGTTGTTTCACCGGTGTGTTTTCATTTTGCAGATCTAAATGAAAAACTTGGAGGATCTTTACCTGAACTCCTTCTTAAAGTTGGGGAGCCATTACTGATAAGATGTAGAGCTTTTTATGAAAACTATAAATTCAGATTGAAATGGCATTTTAAAAACAAAGAATTACAAGAGGTAATAAAAGAGGAGTCTTTTCACATACGTAATAATGGACAGTACCACACAATATTAAATACAAACCTTTATTAAAAACTAGGGGCACTGGTTTGAAGAAACAGATTATCAAGACTCCTCTATGGTACGGATTCTCTATGCATTTGCCTCATCAATGGGAAGAAGTGATAGTGGACATTACACCTGTTCTTCCACAGAACATCCAAATAAAACAACTTTGGTTACAGTCTTAGGTAATTCAGATTAATGTTGTTAACTTTGTGCCATATTTTTCTTTTAGTCATTCAGCTGTTTGCTTGCATGTGTATACACTATGTTTATACAGGAAAAATCCTGTTTCTACTTGAAGTTGAAGTTGAAAATGGAGATGAGCCAGAACTGGATTATCCATATCCCTGCAGGTACCCCACAATCATACCTGCTCCCAGGTTATTTGCATTACTCCTCAAGGACAGTAGTTCTGGGAGTGACACCATGTGGCGGGGCAACAACTCACCGGCGCGGCGCCTTCTGCTGGTCATCTCGGGAATTAGCTCTTTCAGCCCAGAGCGCCCTCTACAGACGGGTGTCTCACTTGCCCCCGGCCCCATGTCCCTCCCGGTGCCCTTTGCCCAGGGGTTCTGCCCACCACAGTACCCCCTCGCTCTGGGTCTTCCCCCCCAGGGGAACCCCCAACTCCCTATCCCCACCTTGCCTCAGTGGCTACTGCCAGTGTCCATTTAGCCCCCACTCACTGAGGCAGATGGCAGTCTGTAAACCACTTATCATCGGTAAGGGGGGTTGGACCAGCTGTCGCTGCCTATTCCTGGGCTGCCCCTCTGCTGCCCTAGTACCCTTTTGTGGGCCCTTAACTCGGCCTGAAGCCTGGGGCTTCATGAGGTTGGGACTCCCCAGCTCCCTCTGCCCTTCCTCAGCACTGCTCCACCCTAGGTACCCTCCTCAACTTCCCAGGCAGCCAGGTCCTTCTCTCTCTAGAGAGTTAGAGAGAGTGTGTGTCTGTCTCTGGCCCTCAGCCCTCTTATAGGGCCAGCTGTGGCCTTATTGGGGCATGTCCCCACCTGTGTCTGCTTCCCCCAATCAGCCTAGCATTTCTCTGCCCCAGCCCTCTCCAGGGCTGCTTTAACCCCCTCAGGGCAGGAGCGGGGTGACCACCCCGCTACATACCACCATAACATTAATTTGAAGTCTAGCCTACACAGTGTTGTCATCCTTTCAATATTATTTCCAGAAACAAAAGAATTCAAGATGGCAACTGCAACCATTTCAAAGGGAGACTGGGGATGTAAAATATTGGACCTATCCAGAGGGTTTCCAGATACCCAAAATTTCCTATAATTAAAACTTTCTGTGCAGGTTTCACCAATTATCCTTTAGAATTATCCTGTTGACCTTCTAACAAATACAGGAGATAAATTTTAAATTAAAATTCAGATTGTCCAGTTAAAATTTAAAAAGCCAGAATATGCAAAAGTTAAGGTTTCTAAATCAACAGTAACTTGGTCACATTGTATTTATGCAATATTTTATTCCTGTTTTTCTTGTTAAATATGTATCTTAATATTGAATAATTTGTGCTAGCAAATATACATAATATCTATATAACAAATGAAACAAGCCTATGATCCTGAGAAATAAGGAGTCATTCAAATGGGAGTTCTCAATTTCTGAAATGCTCACATTCAGCTTCAGTCTTTTACTGAGCAGAACATTTTCCTATATCATGGTAACTAAATACAATAGACTGGCCACTCTGTTGTACTCAAAGTTTCTGAGTAGGAAGGAGAAATTCAAACCCAGCCTCTGAAGCTGCTTCTTACAGATGAGACAAGTCTCTCTTCGTCTTCTTCAAAGCTGGGGGATGGCCTAGAAAGACTGCATCCTTGGATCCCAAATTTTAACTATGGAGCTTTTTTAAATGTAATGTTCCCATTCTTCACGCTGGAGCATCTCACCCCTGACTAATTCAATTTGTAGATGAATGAGGTGGATCGATTTCCTTCCTGGTAGTCTCAAAGTAGATATGCGCAGTATTATTGTAGGAAGAAAATACTTCAGCCAAAAAGCATAAATTGCTCTCGCTCTCTCTCTGCTCCTTTTCAAGTATGCCCGCTAATCTCACCTTTTTAATTTTAGCCTTATTCTCAGATTGTCAAGTGTGGCAGAGAGGTTTTTAAACACAGCAGAAACCAGGCCATTCACCACAGCTGCAGAGTTCTTCATGTCTGTTATTCTCACATCCAGTTTCTGGATGTTACCTGACATTTTGTTTTATCAGCATTGCATAAAGAATTCTGCGCATTATCCAGTCTTTGTTCCAGGAGAGATGAGCTATTTTAAAATAAATGGTTTAAGCTGCTGAATACCAGGTTCAAAGGTAAAAATAATTACAGAAACAAGAAAAGATCATATTCAGACTTAGGAGTTTAAACTTGACTCCCATGGCCCCTAAATAATTACATTTAATACACTTTGAATAGAAATCCAAAAACTGCCACACGTAAACAGAAAAAGGAACGGCTGTGAAGATCAGATCACTCACTCCTTTCTTTTAGCTATAAGAGGAAAAACTGTTTTGTTTAAGCTCTTTTGTAGAGAAATGGTGTCACTTTATTTCAAGGTACTTGTGGGCTATTAGACCCAATCTATTTGATGCTCATAGCATAACTTCAAATGACTTTCCACCTGGAAAGATAAAAAATACTCCCCTTGGTCCCATTTGTACAGCCAAGACGTTTATAGCTCACAAAAATTGGAGAATTCACATAAAAGGAAGCATTTCTTGTTTTAAAGCATTGTCCATTTTTATGGTTTATGTGGGAATTTCCACCCTATTATTTGCTAAATGAGGACTTCAGATACAGAAAACTGTGCTTTACAGAGCATGTGGATGTGGCCAGAAGAAAACCATTTAAAAAGAAAAGCCCAAACCAGTACTATTTACTACAATTCACGTTTTTTTTTTCTTTCTTTCTTTATGGACCTGATCCTAAGCCCACTGATGTCACTGGAAAGGCTTTCATTGATTTCTGTGAACTTTGGAGCAGGCCCTGTGAGATGTAGCCATCAAGAGATGCTTACACTGGCAGTGATGTATTACTTTATATTTTATAAATCTTAAGTTATTAACATTTGGAATAAGTATTTACAATTGAGTGAAAGAAATTTACACAGGATGATCACTGTAGTCGATTCAAAATGACTTGCAGGGCAGAAAGATGGATGAGTTCCTGTATTTTTAAAGGTCTTTGAGTCTTTTATTAACCAAGCCAATCAGATTGGTTCATTCAAAGACAGAGCATTTACACATAGACTGGAGTGGAACATCAGGACAAAACCTGCATGTTATCACCCAGTATTACACCTGATCTTTTTGTAGATAAACAGAATGGTCACTAGTGATTTTATGACCAATGCATTTATAACTTGCAATAATAAATGTGAATAAAAATGTGCACATTTTCAAATTCCTTAATTAAATGGCACCTTTTATAACAGAATATTAATATTTTGTTTACAGAAAAGGGATTTATAAATGTAACTGACTCAAGAGAAGATTTTGAGATTGATCTGTTGGAAAAGTTTTGTTTTGAAATTAAACTTAAAGCATACCCACCAATTAGATGTATATGGATTTTTTCCCAAAAATCATTTCCTTGTGAGCAAAGATACAATGCGGATGGATACAGGTACTTAACTATTCTGAATATTTGTCTGTTATAGTTTGTACAAATACTTATTTTATTTTTTGTCTTTTAAAAAATAGAAGTATTTGTTCATTTTTTCTTTTAACATGTAGAGTGTGGTTTTTGTTTTTAAGTTAAATGTTATTTTTAAAATATAAATAGATCGAGATATTGGTAAAGCAGTGTTACCAAAGTGTTCTGTAATGTTATTTGAGTCTTCAAGAGCAACTCATGTAAATATCTTGTGTTATACATTTGATTAGTCTTGTGTGTGATAACAAATACTTTCCTAAATTATGCACATAACATACCTCTTTCAATTATTTTGTTATATCCTCAGAAAACTCAGTTTCTTGATCTTAGACATAATTCTCCTTTTATGAACCCATTCCGATCATCCATGACTGAATTATAATCTTCTAGGTGTTCCCTTAGTCTTATTCCATTCTTAGCTCATGTTCCCAGTATCTTTCAGGCTGCTAAAGCCAAGCTTATTGGCACTTAATTTCCTAGACCTTTAGTAGATCCCTTAGGCCTTCTCTACGTTACAGAAATTTTACTAGCTGTCCAATTCACAGATTTTTCCCATGTTACAAAAGAGGTTTTGAAAAAAAATGTGTTAACTATTTTTTCTGCTACTTCCTATAATAAAGTTCTGGCATGGATTCTGTCTAGTCCTAACGATGTATCCATTCCCCAGCCTAATGTCTTGATATCATTATCTAATTCCTTCTGAGCTTCCTTTCAACTTTGCAAACTAAAGTCATACAGCATTCTAACCTCTAACTTCGTGAAAAGTCAGGCAAAAAGTTAACGTTTGAGCAGTGTTAACTACTTTTGTCTATGCCCGGCCTGTGCCAGGTCTGAGGACATAATGCTCCTGTGCTGATTTCTTGTTCCTCATATTCTTAAAGCATTTAATTCTTTGCTTAAAACTCTGTTGCAAACTTGCTTTCACTTTTTAGCTTTGCTTTCTTTATCGTTTTGTTATACTTCACTTTAGTCTTAAGCCTTTTGGGTCCTATTTTGTAACAGACTTGGCTATTCATCTGAATCAGATTGGTTATTTGGAGTCAAACCTTCACATGGTACAGAGACAGCACAGATCAGTCTAGTAAATGATCTTCTCCTGGCAATGGAGGCAAGAGATCTGTCTTTGTTGATAACATGTTCGTTTTGTCAGCAGACTTTGGTAGAGTTGATTACTGGGTCTTGGTGACTAATCTGCAGTCCCTGGTGTCTGTGGGCTGATCTGTTCTTCAGTGGTTAAGATCATTTCTGGAGATGAGCTCGCTAAAGGTAGTCATGAGCATTTACTCATCCTTGTCCCAGAGATACCACTTACATGCTGATAATACTCAGCTTATTTACTTTCCAACTATTGCAGACTGTCTCCTAGCTGTTTGTCTGCAGACAGTTGTGTTTGGAGGACAGACAGTTGATTCAACCCAGATAAGAGTAAAGTGATGCTGATGGGCCAAAAATAGTATTTTGAGGAACTCTGAGATGGTTTAGGTAATTCTGATTTACAGGAGGGTGGGGTCACCACTTGATCTCAGGAATATAGAAGTCGCTCTAGATTGCTTTTTCAGCATGGAAATGCATGTTGCTAGCCAGGGCCGGCTCCAGCATTTCTGCCGCCCCAAGCAAAAAAAAAAAAAACCGCGATCAGAGGCAGCAGTTCAGCGGCAGGTCCTTCGCTCCTAGAGGGAGTGAGGGACCTGCCGCCCCCGAATTGCCGCAGGTGCCGCCCCTCTCGCTTGGCCGCCCCAACCACCTGCTTGTTAAGCTGGTGCCTGGAGCCGGCCCTGTTGCTATCATACTCCAGAGTGGTGACCACCAACTCCAACTTCTGTGAAAAGCCCACCCTTTTCTGTCTATTGCAGGCTTGGCTTTGCTTGTTCACACCGTAGTCACTTCAGGCAAGATTCTTGTAACTGAGTCCTAGTCAAGCTGCATCAATTACAGGACATAGCTGCCCAGGTGCTCCATGCATAAAACCCAGGGAATAAGTTTTGTTTAAATGTTGTTTTTAAAAAGTTTTCATTTACAGCATCCCAGATAGTCATATTTAGCGCTTTAGATTTTCAAAGCACTGTACAGATTTCAGCCAACACAATGCCCCTGTAAGAAGGCAGGTAGTTAAGTATTATTATTGTACCCATTTTGCAGATGGGTTCAATGGACAGAAAAGTAAATAAATTTAAAAATAAATATGCAATCACATTCTATAGCACCCTGTTTGATTTGTTATTTTCAGCTTTGCATGTTTCGGTTTATGGTTGAGTAATCATATCTCCCATCACTTCTACTTTGCTCCTTTCATATCCTTTTTATTGATTTTATTTCCTTTTTTGATTTCTGTTGTATCCTTTCAAGTTGTTCCTCCTTATTGCATTTTATAATAGATTTGTACTATGAACTTTGCTCCTTAACATTTAATTTCTGCTATAAAAAATTTGGCACCATCTTTAGTTCCTCTAAGTGCTAAGAGCAACAACAGGTTCTTTCAGACTTTCCATTTTCTGTTCTCTCTTTATAAAACAGAACATATCTCTGTGCTTAGCACACCGCTGCTTTTCACTTCCTTACTCTGGGTGAATCAATTCCATGAAGGCAAATGCTCTCATGTACATCTTGTTCTCTCACCTTTCTTTGTGCTTACATGCAGACACCCAAGAAATGACTCTTGAAAGGATCTTCTTATTTCTTTCCCGTGACTAGTGATTCTTGATGCATTGATGTTTGGGTGCCCAACTGGAGACACTCTAAAGAGGGCTTGATTTTTAGAAAGTGCTGAGCACCTAGACATCTCATAAACAAGTCTGTTTTTCTTTCTATCACCTATAATGTCTTGAAGATGTCCCAGTTGAGCATTCTACAACTGAGGCACTCAAAATCAACAATCATGAATGGAAATCTTGGCCTCACTCAGCAAGCAAAATGACACTTCTCTTCAGTGTGAATTTTCTTGCTTTAGAGCCACATGGGCTGGCTTCATAACTGTGTTATGTGTCTTGTCTAATAAAAGCTACTTAGTTCCCCCGCACCTCCTCTCTAGGTTTCTTTTTCAGGGCTGACTGTTTCTTTTGCCTGTACACCTACCTGCTGATTCTGGCTGTTTCTTCTCTTCTGACTCATAGAATATTTTCCTCAGATGCCTGCCCTCTTTACCCCTATTCACTGACTGAAACTCTTCTAGCCAAAAAACCTTATTCCCTTAAGTCAGGACATTTGTACCTTAGATCAGGGGTTCTCAACCTTTTTCTTTCTGAGGCCCCCCAAACATGCTATTAAATACTACATGGCCCACCTGTGCCACAATAACTGGTTTTCTGCATCTAAAAGCCGGGGCCGGCGTTAAGGGGTAGCAAGCGGGGCAGTTGCGCAGGGCCCCATTCCACAAGGGGCACCATGAAGCTAAGTTGCTCAGGCTTCTGCTTCAGCCCCGGGTTGTGGGCCCCAGGGCCCCACACTTCACCCCCCATGCAGTGGGACTTTGGCTTTCTGCCTTGGGCCCCAGCAAGCCTAATACTGGCCCTGAAACCTGCTCATGGCCCCCAAGGGGGCCCCAGACCCCTGGTTGAGAACCACTGCCCTAGAGCACCAGTAATTATATGCAAGGAGCATCTCCCTTAAGTATTCTTCTAACACTGATGAACCAACAAAAGTTCCCTCTCAAATCTGACAACAATTCAGACAAAAATAAAACAATCAAATGAACAGATTTGGGAATCATTCCCATTTCCTTTCATTACAGCACATAGAGAATATACTTATGTCTGGAGACTGGTTTTACATTTCTTTATTCAGAAAAAAATTATTTTGGATTCTTTGTTAATGACTTGATTTTTAAAAAAATATTTGAATCTTGACTACATGTAATCTGTAAATGTGCTTAAGCATTTCCCCCCCTTTTCTCAACAGCATTTCTTCAAGGTTCTGTGATCATAAGTATCAGTCAGGGGAATACGTATTCTATGCAGAAAATGATGATACATATGTGAATAAAACAATGATGTTGTATGTGAAACGTAAGTAAAAAATGCACAGGTTTGATTAAATCTATGGGTGAGAAATCCTGACCCCTTTGGAATCAATCAATGGAATTTTTGCCATTGACTTCAATGGGTCCAGGAATTCACCCAATAGGTTATTTCTTTCCCACCCCTCTTTCATCCTACCAAAAAAAAAAAGTAACAATTTATCACCATTAGAGCATGCTTGTAGATCAGGAATTTTTCGGATAGTAAGAGTGAACTATAACTAGTTGTCAAATATATTAGATAATACAAAAAAGCAAACTGTTTTTACGAGGGAAAAAAAGGTTGGGTAAGTGGGAATTTTGAGATTTAACCAATAGTAAGGTTGCTTGCTAATGTCTTCTGTTTCCTAACGTCTCCCATCTAACTGTGTTTTTATTTGTGCATCTCATAAACAAGTCTGTTTTTCTTTCTACCACCTATTTGGGAGATTTTTTTTGACTTGCATATTGCAGATTTTGGAATACAGTAAGCGTACATCTACATTGCAATTGGAGGTGTGATTACAGCTCAGGTGGGCATACCTGTGCTAGCCAGCACAGCTAAAAAGAGCAACAAAGACACAGTGTCAGGGACCCCAGCTCTTCACTACTACTTTTAGCAGGCTAGCTAGATCAAAGCTAGCGTGGGTAGGCCTACTTAAGCTGCATGCACACCTCTGATTGCAGTGTAGACCTACCTCAGATAGTTTGAGTCCCAGTGAAATATTGAAAACTAGATACCTGTCCTGAAAATATTACTGCAATGATAGATGTCATCAAAATGGGAAAGGTTTAAAAAAGCAGGAGGGGGAAAATAATGTAAGCTCCTGTCAGAATTTTTTCACACTCCTCATGTAGCAGCTGCTGTCATGTGCTTCTGATATGTCGACACTGCCTCGCAGTTGGGACTACAGGGGTGTGAATAGCAGGGCATGCCAAAGTGCTGCCCTGGTAACTCCCCCAGGTAGATGCTGCGGGTGTGAACTAAAAGATTCCTAGTTCTGATTAATGTAATCCTGTTTAAAGAGGACTGTGATAATGCGAACTAGGAACTTTTTAGTTTGCACCCACAGCATCCACACAGGGGCCCTACAGCGCAGCACCTTGGTACACACTGCTATTCACACCCCATAGTCCAATCTGCGGGGCAGTGTAGACATAGCCTCACAGTTTCTTGTTTCATTCTCACTGAGCACTCTCTAGGCCTTATTCACGTGTAACCTATACCTGTTTTGCACCAATAGAGCTCTACGGATTTCAATAGAAGTACTCCTGATTTACACCAATGTGAGAGGAGAATCGGGTCCTATGTGACTGGATTGTTAACTAGAAATCCCCAAGCCCTATAAAACCTAGCAGAAAATACCGAAGAAATCTCAGCCATCAAATATGATCAGGAAATAGCCTTTTACAAAGAATTCCTACCTCTAGTGTGCCACCAACAGTGTGGACAAAAATAGAGCAAGAATATGAAGACTTCTTAAGAAAACTACAGTGGGCAGGCACCAACTGAAATACAGTTACATTACTTCAAAAAGGCAAAATAGTCTTAATCCATGAGAGTGGGATAGAATGATATGAGAAAATTCACTCATTAGGTATAACTTGCCATACCCTACTTGTGGCTTCTTTATGCCATTCACAAATTCACAACATTCATCCCAGAACCCTATGATGGGGTGTATAACCCTCCCCTAGAACTAAAGATGTTAAAGAGCAACTCTGGGTGCAGATGACCCCGCCCAGCCTCACCATTAGAGCATGCTGCAGATGGAGATGGAGCTTAAAAGAAAGCTACCCCGTCCCCCTCTGCATTAAGAAGGGACTTACCCCGTGATACTTCCAACAAGCGCTGACCATCACAAACCCATGAACATTTAGTACCTGTTAGTGCTGCACTATCATGTGTTATGTGTTGCATCCAGTATTTTTTGTTGAAAAAAATCTTAGCTTTGCTACATGTTAGTAATATCATGTCATTGCTTTACATTAACTGTCAACAAAAGAAATGCTCTTCAGTGGGAGTCAGGCAATCAGAATTTGCCTTTTCACGTGTAGCATAGTTTGGAGGAATGATTATGTTGCGGTTGGGAGTCAGGAAGTTCTGAGTTTTAATCCTGGCTCTGCCACTGATTCACTGTGAGAGCTTGGGTCAACTGCTTCACTTCCCTGTCTCCATTCCATTATACATAGAAAGGAAATAACAGTACTTACCTATCACAGGCGTGCTATGGAGATTAACATGGACCCTGATGATGGGATGCTTTATAAATATCTAAGTAGATTTTGATCACTTTGGGTGTGGTGCTGGAACTTGGGGTGCTGGGGGTGCGGCTGCACTCCCTGGCTTGAAGCGGTTTCCATTATATAGGGTTTACACTTTGGTTCAGTGGCTCTCAGCACCCCCCACTATACAAATTGTTCCAGCATCTCTGGGTGTAACCCTGTAGACATAACTGTATTATTGACTAACGTATTATATTAAACTTTCTTGTGATATGTTTGTTACAGGGAAACCTGAAGTAACAATACAGTCAACATCAAAAGATATTTCTTGCTTCTCTGATAGTTACCCTGCACCATCTTGGACCTGGAGGAAATGTTCAGGACCTGATTCTTCTAAGTAAATAAAGACATTTTCTGCCCTTTTTTTTATTTCTATATTCTTATTTGTGATGTTTCTTTGGCTAAATAAAGACTAGCCAGTGACTAGATACTGTAAGATGAACTTTGGGGTACATGTAAAATAATAGTCTGGTTCAGGGATGAATCAAACTAAATTAGATGTTTTCCTTGACTTTAATAGAAGCAACATCAGGCCCATAAGCATGTGTATCTGAAGCTCTTTATATTGAAATAAACACAGCTGTGTCTAGAGCAATAGTTAGACATTAATTTAATTGCACAGTGTCCCAGTATGAATACTGGATTCCATATAAGCTTTCCTTGGTGCATTTAGTGGTCCTAATGAATCAAAGTATCAGGACCAGTGGATTTGCCAGTGAATACATCAAAGTGTCAAGATATTCTTTTGGTTTATCTAGCCATTTCAGTACCTGGAAGTGCATTGAGGATCTGATCTAATGCTCAAGGAAGTCAATGAGTCATTCCATTTACTGCAATGGAGATTGAATCAGGCCCTAAAACTTCAAGGTACCAGGGTGGTTTTTGAACTGTGTCGACATTACTTTACTCATTCTAAAAAGCTCATTCCAAAAATAATCCTACATTCAAATTAAGGTACCAGGTCAAATATATTAATGGAATGTTATGAATGAGATTTAAAATATTTTAGAAAGTTGTTTTTAAATATTATGATAATTTTTCTATCCTTGCATCCAAGTCCACTTCTTTCTATGAGTCTAATTGTACAGAAATCAAAAGGAGAGGAAAACATATAACTGGTAAATTTAAAATATTTCTTAAAGTAGCTTTTCATATATAAAATGCTGAGACTCTAAAACCCATTGTCTTGGGAACATGTAGGTCTAGAAAAAGTGTTGTGTGTCCCATTAAAATGTGACAATCTCCTCTTTCCTTTGGTATAAAATTTCTCTGTCTAAATATTAGACTTAAATTTTGCTTCTCATTTGGGACTGAATGTTTTCCATTCTAAGCCCTAATCAAGTGTAATTTTGAGGAGGAAACTGTATGCGTTAGAGGAAAGACATAAACATTTTTATGGCAGGTTAATCTTTTTAAATGGCAGCTATTTTGAAGCTTCTGAAAACTCTGGAGGGTTTGAAGTAGCCCCAGCAGAAATGGATTAGTGGGCAGAGTGATGGAGAAACAGTCAAAGTGAAACCCAGATGGAAGGCTGGGAGCAGAACCTGGATAATATCCCTTGAATTTATTTATTTAGAGTCATAGGGCCAGCTCTTCAGCAGACGTAAACGTGCATAGATCCACTGGAAGCAACAGAGTTATACTGATTTGCACCAGCTCAGGATATGACCATAATATACAAAAAAATACCTATCCTTGGCTCTAGGTGCCTTTACCAAAATTAAAAATTAAATCAAATGAAAAGAAAACCCAGCATCTACTCCCAACCCCCACAGTAATAATAAGAACTTAAGAACAACCATACTGGGTCAGACCAATGGTCCATCTAGCCCAGTATCCTGTCTTCTGACAGTTGCCCATGCCAGGTGCCCCTAGGATGACCAGTTGTCCTGATTGTATAGGGACAGTCCCAATTTTGTTTTGTTTTTTTCTTATATAGGCTCCTATTACCCCTCAACCCCTGTCCCGATTTTTCACATTTGCTGTCTGGTCACCCTAAGTGCCCCAGAGGGAATGAACAGAACAGGTAATCATCAAGTGATCCATCTCCTGTCGCTCATTCCCAACTTCTGGCAAACAGAGACTAGGGGCACCATTCCTGCCCATTCTGGCTAATAGCCCTTGATGGACCTATCCTCCATGAACTTATCTAGTTCTTTTTCAAACCCTCTCAGTGTCTTGGCCTTCACAACATCCTCTGGCAAGGAGTTCCACAGGTTGACTGTGCTTTGAGTGAAGAAATACTTCCTTTTGTTTGTTTTAAATCTGTTGCCTGTTAATTGCATTTGGTGACCCTTTGTTCTTGTGTTATGAGAAGGAGTAATTAACACTTCCTTATTTACTTTCTCCACACCAGTCATGAATTTATAGACCTCTATCATATCCCACCTTAGTTGTCCTTTTCCAAACTGAAAAGTCCTGGTCTTATTAATCTCTCCTCATATGGAAGTTGTTCCATACCCCTAATCATTTTTGTTGCCCTTTTTGTTCCTTTTCCAATTCCAATATATCTTTTTTTGAGATGGGACGACCAGATCTGCACCAAGTATTCAAGATGTGGGCATACCATGGATTTACAGAGCAGCAATATGATATTTTCTGTCTTATTATCTATCCCTTTCCTAATGATTCCCAACATTCTGCTCGCTTTTTTGACTGCTGCTGCACATTGAGTGGATGTTTTCAAAGAACTATCCACAATGACTCCAAGATCTCTTTCTTGAGTTGTAACAGCTAATTTATACCCCATAATTTTGTATGTATAGTTGGGATTATGTTTTCCAAAGTGCATTACTTTGCATTGATCAACATTGAATTTCATCAGCCATTTTGTTGCCTAGTCACCCAGTTTAGTGAGATCACTTTGGAACTCTTCGCAGTCTGCTTTGGACTTTATCTATCTATCTATCTATCTATCTATCTATCTATCTATCTATCTATCTATCTATCTAATGTATACATGTATAATGTATGTAGATGTATATATCATCATGTATAATAATATAGTGAAAATCAAGCCCAGCAATACTCTCCTCTCTAGCACAAACATCAGCCACCTCTCATGATTTGGCCTCCCCAAAACCTTGTGCAAGTTGTAACAATCGTAACTGGACCTCATTTCTTTTTAGTTGTACAGAAGAAATCACAGAAGGGATTTGGAATGACACACGTGAGAGGAAAACCTTTGGGTCCTGGCATTCCAGCAGCATTTTAGATATACAGGATACAGTGATAGGCTTTTCTGTTGAGTGCTGTGCGAACAATTCTGTTGGCTCATCCTGTGCGAAGAGATTCATTAACCAACAAGGTACTGTACCGCTTCTGAGACAGTGCAGGCCATCTCAAGTTAATTAAAGACTACAAAGAGAAAACTATGTTATCATCTGTATTGTTGGTTCACATTTGAATATTCTTTGCAAACAAAATATAGGATTCCACACAGACTGTGAGTGGAATTGTGGGTAAAATGTGTGTCTCTTCTGGCATGATCTTTTTCTTACGTTCAGTGATATGGTGTTTGGGACCAAATCTAGCAGTCCCAAAGCAGACTACTCTTCCATTAAAGTCAGCTGCAGAATCACACCCTGTGAATCTAGAGGCCTGCTTTTTATTCCTATGAGTAAGCTATACCTGGAAATTAAGTTACAAATTGATGTGCAGCCCTTTTTGCTTATGGAAATATATGAGATTCTCTTTTTATGTTTGATTACAAAGAAGAAGCAATGTGGCTATCAGGTCATGTTCTGTTCGGATGTCTTCTCTGAGACTAAAGATTTACAACCCATAGTTATTGCATGAGGAAAAATATTTGAGCTACAGAAAATAACATGCAGTATTATTTAGGAAGAGGGCAAATATTTAATTTATTCACTTTGAACATAAGGATTTCCTTTGTCTTGAAGAGACAATTAATGTCTTAATTCAGTAATCGTATTGACCACAAGTGATAGGTATTACCCGGTACCATTTCACATACACACTATATAGTGTCATAAAGGATATTAAAGTTGCTCAATTTTGACCTTCAGAAGACATGTTGCAGCTATAGTAAAAAGGGAAGTAGACAGAGAAGAAAGAGTAGAAGGTAGCAGAGTCAGCCTGCTTTTATGAGAGAAGGTCACACACTTTCACCTTGAGTGTCTTAAAATCATAAAAATATAACAAGGAAAAGGCAGGGAGTTCCGATTTTAATACCCTTAGTTATTGAGTCATTTTAATTTGCCTTTCTGACACCCAGCCTGGTAGTGACGTGCACTGATTAGTGGTGTACATAGGCTGGAATGTCTATGAGAACATGTGTAGAATACATTTAAGTATTATGAATCCAGTCGTCTAATGTCTAATATTTTGAATTTAATGAACAATGAATTTATGTAAGCATGTGTCAAACATAATTAATTTACACTGGAGTAAACTGTATGGATAGCACACACTGTATGCTGGTGTTAATACATCCTTGCCCATTCAGAAAATTATCTGTATGATGAAAAAGTTAGACCTGGTAATTTTGGCATTATGGTGTTAACTAGGCAATAGCAGAGCAATACTCTAAGCAGGTTTGGTGCAATTGGTCCTCAGTTAACTGGTGGCTCTTTATATTATATCTGCATTGAGGCAGGGGTTATGCAGTTAACCTTGGAATGACTTCTTAGTTGTTTGGCTGCTTGTATTTAGATTCCCAGGGATCTGGGCAACATGCCATAATGGCTTCTGGTTGAACAATGATGTCAAAGGGGTTAAAGAGTCATATAACATTTACTTATTGAATGAGAATAAGTTTCAGACTTACCCAGTTTATAAGTATTGCCCATCTTGTTTTGTTATGAATACAACTCATTTACAGTGCTAATTGAGGCCCTGACCCAAAGACATTTGAAGTCAATGGGGGTACTTCCATTAAACACGTCTTCCTGCAGTAGAATAAACAAGAGGGGACTAAGGGGAAGAAATATTTATGACTATCCTCTTAGGGGTTCCTCTCTGTTCATTCCACTTTGGGCTGTCAGTCTGTCCCATGTGGAATGGATCATGGTGCCGACCAGAGATCCAAAGCAGATCAGGTGCATCTATGTGGAGATCTTTTGCCTTCACTCTGGCTCCATGTCCCCAGCATTTCCTTTGCTACCTGGCAGCATAGCTACATTACCAGGGACTCCCCAGGCTGCAGCTGTCCCTGGAGCCTCATTAAAGGTATCTTCCCATCACCAACATGATAAGCTCTATGGTGTAAAGGGGGAACAATGTGTATTCTCCTAGCTCCACCCTCGCCCAAATCTGGGCCACCCAGACCCTGCCCCTCCCTCTGCATAAATCTTTGCACCTTGGATCACCTCTACTCCAGAGGCAACTGAACCCTCCTTCATATGGGAGTTGGTCGATCCACATACAGAGGATCTTACTCATGTACTGAGGTTTGAAGGGCATGATCTGGCTACCTGAGAGATGTTGATCACCTGTAATTCCCATTAGCAATTCTCAGGCTCAGGCCAAAAGGGAATGGAAAATAGTGGAGATAATACAAACACGACAGATTTGACTCTGTTCCTCGTAACCTAACATTATATTCCAGTTCTGATTCGTTGTTTAGTAACGTGTATCTTTTTAAATTACAGGAGCTGTTTTTTCCCTCCAAGATAATGTTTCATTCTATGCAACTACTGGATTTTGCCTTCCATTTATAGCTGTTTTGCTTATATTTATTTTTCATAAATACAAAAAGGTAAAAGCAAAAAACTGAAATGAATGCTCTCCACTCCCCTCTCTTGGAAATCTATTTCTCTGTTGGACTAATACAATTTTTCCATTTCTGAAGCAATTTAGATATGAGAGCCAAATGCAAATGATACACATAGTTGGTCCTTCAGATAATGAGTACATCTACATTGATTTCAGTGAATTTGAATATGATCTCAAATGGGAGTTTCCAAGAGAAAATCTGGAATTTGGTGAGCAATCTGCTATGTAAACGATCAAGTCATCATATTAGTTTGCATTGCACTAAACTAGAAATCACCTTAACTCATTTTGTCTTGTAGGGCAGGCACTTGGCTCTGGTGCCTTTGGAAAAGTGGTGAATGCAACAGCTTATGGAATTAGTAAAACAGGAGTTTCAGTCCAAGTTGCAGTCAAAATGCTAAAAGGTACAGTAAATCACAGAGAGATACTGCTCTCACAAGCAATGATTTATTGTTTGTGTTTTAAGGTAGAAACAGCACCAGAAGCCCCTCTAAATCAATTCCCTTAGCAATTGCACCTCACAGTCCTTTTATACTTTAATACTTACTTAGCTTTAAAAGTTATTCCTTTTGCATATTCTTATTGCTACATTTTGTAGTTTATTCCATGTATTAACTAAATTCTAGAGTGTATCTCTAAGGCACAACCAATAGTATGAGAAAGGATAGAACTCTGCCACTCCTGGGGGGCACTGGGAGGCATTCCCCCTCAAGGGAAGGACTCCCGGGCCTCCCACATGGCAAAGATTGCATATTTGCTACAGCATCCTTTCATGGGATACATCCTTCTCTTCCCAGTGTGGCTGACCAGCTCTGGTGACTTGGGTACAGGGATCTGGAGGGACCCTAGCTAACAGCTCTGTTGTGGACCTGCTACTCACGGATGCTGTCTTAGTCCACATTACCCAGCTGGGTCTTGTCTTCCCTGCTCTGCAGGCCATTTAGTTTCTCAGCTTTTCCACAGCTGGAAAGAACTTGCCCCATCAAACTATTGGGATGTGGTGAGGTCCTGCCTCCTGTGATATGGTCACCAAGTACCCCAACTGCCATATATGGCATTCAGAGGTGGAAATATGGACTCCATCCAGAAAAGAAGGCAGGGCTTAACAGTCATGTAGTGTCAGCCCTGAGAGGGCTTCCCACAGGGCCAGTCCTAAGAGGGTTTCCCACCTCCGAATTCTAGAAGGGCTCTCCCATTGGAGAAACCAGCTCTGCCATGCAATTTGGCCCCCTTCATGCTGTGGTAGGGCAAAGTTTTAGCTCTAGTAACTTTTTAAAAGTTCTTTCTATATTTGATTGATATAGAGAGAGTGCTTCCTGTTCATGAGGTAAAGTGACATTATTTTGGGTTAAATGAACTCTGATGCAAAGGAGATGTTTATTAGCACAGGTATCATTTTTACTGAGTGAACAGAAAACACCTTCATTTTGTTCTTACACTGAAATATACTTTCCATTTTCTCACTCTTACTCTCTGATTGGCTACTATGGGTCCCTCATCTCCATGGACTACTGCCTTCAGAACAGACATGACTGCCTCAGTTTCTTACCCATCCAATACTTCCCCTCTCTTGTATAATGAGGAGTTATTAGTTCCTCTCTCTCTAACTAAGAGTTATTAAATTAATAAAGTAAATTTTATTTATTATTTAGAGTTAGATGAGGTCAGTTTGCATAATGTTTCTACATTTATTGAAAAACAGGTGTAAAGTCATTATTGAAATGATTGTACACTAATTGGCTAACGGCCTTTATTAGCCAATTGGAATACAATTATTTGTATACTTTATGTGGATGAGAAATCATAGACATAGACTCCCTCAGCCAATCAAAATGCAGGGAATTGCGTAAATGAGAAATAAGTTATGAGTCAGTAGTTGTACTGCTTCTCTATATTGAGACTGAGACAATTCCATATCATTTTAAGTTGTAAGCTATGGTTTCCCTCAAAATTGCATGATCCAGTTTTGAATCAGGAGAGACAATAGGGAAAAATTATGAGCCAAATTCTGCTCACAGTTACAACTGTTTAAATCCAAAGTAGCCCTACTGAACACATTTCAATTTTATAGCAATATAAACTTGAAAAGGAATTTGGTTCTATATCTGTCTCCCTGTCTCATATTTAAAGCAAATTCTGGCTACTTGTCGGAATCTGCCAACCGTTCTTTATTTTGTCACTTTCATAATATCTGTTTTTCAAGACCACGAAATCATCTCACAAAGCTTGTAGCTGAAACACAAACACACAATGAGAGAGAGAGAGAGAGAGAGAGCGTTCCAGCTGTGATATATAGCAGATAGAATATCTATTTATCTTAAAGTATTACTCTTTAGACCAATTTTCTACACAGTCATAGCTTTATATCAATGGGATTAATGTAAAAGGAAAGCTTTGTATGCCACACAGAACCTAAACTTTTTAGGTTTCAAACTCTAGCCTGTAAATATTTTTCTAAGTTTGTGTTGCTGTTGTATTTACAGAAAAATCTGATCCTTCTGAAGAAGATGCTCTAATGTCAGAGCTCAAAATGATGACTCATATTGGAAGCCATGAAAACATTGTGAATCTATTAGGGGCTTGCACCACATCAGGTAATAAACACCAGATTGAAATATACTAACCTAAATCAACGTAAAGAAGACTTATGAATGGAATACAAATACCTCAAAAATTGGCCATTAGCAGCAATATGAAACATCTGTGAATCCTGATAAATCCCAGATCCCATGGTTTGTTTGTTTTTCCAATGTTGTGCTATGCAGTGGCCCAGATGCAGAAAATAAAGTGAGGGTAAAACAAAAGAGAATCTAAGGGCTTGTCTGCACAGAAAAATGGTACTACTTTAACTATACTGGTATAGTTGGTAGAATTAAAATAGCACAGCCCACCTACTGTGGATGCAGTTATCCTGGGATGAATGTGTTTATACTGGAACAGTTAATTCCTGTGAGGAAAGGGGAATAAGGAATACTGGCATAAGGCACCTTTATATCAATATAACTGTGTCCACACTGGGGGTTGTACCTATTTATTTTTTTTGCAGTAGAAAATCACCAAAATAGTTACAATGGTACAAAAACTGTTTGAAGACCAATGCTAAGGGGCGAAGAAGACTGGGTAGCCTGACGGATTGACAGGAAAGGAAAGGAAGTGGAGACGGGTCAACAAATGAAATGAAAATAAGAGAGTGGAATGAAGGATGAGGAGCGAGTGAAGCAAAGAAGGGAAGAGAAAGGAAAAGTAAAGAGGGGAGTGAACAGAAGAATAGAGTGAGGGTGGGAAAAAAATAAGAGGGAAAAGATTGTGGATTACTGTAGTTATTTATTGTTTGTATTGTGGTGGTGCCCAAAAGCTCTAATCATTGACCAGGACCCCTTTGTGCTAGCTGTCGTACAAACACAGAATAAAAAGATGAGCCCTGCCCCCAGATAGCTTACAATTTAAGTAATGTTGTTGTACTAGTGAACAGAGAGAGGATAAGGAAGCTATATAGTGTGAGCAGGGCCTGGCGTTTGTATTTGTAATTGATTTGTTAGATCCATCACTTTAAAAAATAGGGAAGATTTGAGTCATGGGTATTATTTTAAGGCAGAAATAATAATAACAATGAAATCTAATTTCCCCAGCTCATAAGAACAATAATTCTGTCATGAAAAGAAAAGGAGGGAAGTTAAATAGATCATTGCGACTAGCTTCGCGACTAAGCCTGGGAGGATAAGGGGGATTCAGAGCCTGAGCTCCAGCCCGAGCTGCAACTTCAAAGTGCTGTCTACACAGTTATTTTTAGAGCAAGCCCAAGTCTGTCACCCCAGGTCAAGAGGCTTGCTCCCAAGTGCTGTGTAAATATACTCAAAATGCCCCACCAATGAGTATGCCCACATATGTCGGCACCTCGTTCTAGATTGTCTTAGAACAGAGTTGATTGCTAGAGTGTATGGACAAAATAATAAAACACTATGAATGAAAGTGGCTTAAATCAAACAACAGTAACTCAGTATGTCATAACAAAAAATACTGTTAAGCAGGGTCCCAAACGTAATGACAGCATGTGGGTAAAGCAATATGAAAAGCTGCCGATTTAGAAGGGCTTTTCCCTCCAGCAAGCAGTTTGAGGGAGTAGTGTATATGTCCAAAGTCCCAGGAAGTCTCTCACACTCTCAGAGGAAGGGGTCTGGGCTTTAGGGGAAAACCACGTTCTTTGCCATCCCGCCAAAAGCCATTATGTCATTTCCCAAAAGCAGTTGGACTCTACCTCAACTTTTGTGCCTACTCCATCTAGTGTGGCTAATAAGCTACATCTTCAAGGATGGCACCTTCCAGTCCTGTACACTAAGGGCCAGATTTTTAAAGGTGCCTAAAACTCATCGATGCCTAAAACTGAGGTGCCTAAAACTCATTTATTTCAATGGGTGTTAGGTGCCTACATGCCTTTGAAAATCCCACTATGTGCCTAAATACCTTTAAAAATCTGGTCTTTAGTCACTAGTGCTAGTGCTCCTCTGGTAACATTTTTGGGAGGGATCTTTATTCCCCTTTAGTGATCCCCAATCCACTTTTGATGATACACATTTGGCAATGTCAGCCAGGCAAATTTTCTGAGATGTTTGCCCCATATCTATCAGTACCAGTTATTTATATGGAAATTGTATAAGGTTCAGGCATTTAATATAGACCATACATTGGGAGAAAATGAGGGTTCATTACGGCTTCACGAGGGAGGCGCTCCTTCCCCCTAGAAAGATTGCTTCAGTACATCCAGTACCCGGACAGTAATAGATATTCATTCCATAAACTATCTCAGGACCAGTTTACTTGATTTTTGAATACTGTTGCTATGGTGACCTGCTGAACTACTTAAGGAACAAAAGAGAAATATTTCACCGGACGTGGACAGATATCTTCAAACAGCACAATTTCAGCTTTTACCACAATTTCCATTTGGATCGAAACTCCAGGTAAAATGTTCAGTAACAGTTTGAACTATAAGTAACCTATTATCAGTCAAGCGCTTGCACTGATACAACTCCCTGCAAGCACGTGTCCCGGAACTCTTTGCAAAGAAAACTGATGTAAATTGGCGTAATTCCTTTGAAGAGCTGAGGATTGGGGCCAGTATGTAAATAAACAAATCTAGCTTAAGGAGTGAATTGAGGAGTGTCCTTTAACAAAGAACACCAGTGAATTCTAGGCTCATCACACTCCAGTCTTTGGAAACCCACCGGGAATTGGCTAAAAAAATAGTCCTATTTTTACTGCAGTTCTTCTGATTGCACTGCAAGCATCATGAAACCCCTTCTGTGGATTTTGGCATTTTAAAGGGTCATGCTAGATGTATAATAAGTAATAATTCGGTGCCAAAGGTTGTAATGGCAGTAACTGATGCCCTTTTCACTACAAAGCAGTTCACATTTTAGATGATTATTTTATTTGAAATATGCAACTTTTTTAAATATGCCCCCTACTCCAGACAGGGGACAACATTAAAAAATGGATCATATATTTCATTGTGTAGAATGGATGACTTTGGAGGAATGCAACTAAGGCAAGACTCAGATTTGACCTCTGGATCAAACGGGATTACATTATATTCGGAGGAAGGTGAGAAATTAAGCATTTTCTTCTGAGAAACAATTGTAAAAAACAAATTTGCTTAGTTTGTATTAGAGATGTGTATAGAAATAGAGAGAAATCAATAGACCTAGATTATAGTAAAAATGTAGGGACATATTTTTATTTATTTATTTATTTATTTTGGAGTGGGAACAGCAATTCCATACATGGTTGGAAAGACGGAAACATTTTGATGGCAGATTGATATTTTTAAAGGCCTATTTCAGAGATTTGGAATATTGGAATTTGGCCTCATGAATGTGAGAAAGTTGCATGGGTTTAACGAAAGGTGTGAAAACTGACTCAGAATCATAGAATCAGAAAATATCAGGGTTGGAAGGGACCTCAGGAGGTCATCTAGTCCAACCCCCTGCTCAAAGCAAGACCAACCCCAACTAAATCATCCCAGCCAGGGCTTTGTCAAGCCGGGCCTTAAAAACCTCTAAGGATGAAGATTCCACCACCTCCCTAGGTAACCCATTCCAGTGTTTCACCGCCCTCCTAGTGAAATAGTGTTCCTAATATCCAACCTAAACCTCCCCCACTGCAACTTGATACCATTGCTCCTTGTTCTGTCATCTGCTACCACTGAGTTCCATCCTCTTTGGAACCCCCTTTCAGGTAGTTGAAGGTTGCTATCTAATCCCCCCTCACTCTGCTCTTCTGCAGACTAAATAACCCCAGTTCCCTCAGCTTCTCCTCGTAAGTCATGTGTCCCAGCCCCCTAATCATTTTCATTGCCCTCTGCTGGACTCTCTCCAATTTGTCCACATCCCTTGTCATGGGGGGACCAAAACTGGACGCAGTACTCCAGGTGTGGCCTCACCAGAGCCAAAAAGAGGGGAATAATCACTTCCCTCGATCTGCTGGCAATGCTCCTACTAATACAGCCCAATATGCCATTGGCCTTCTTGGCAACAAGGACACACTGCTGACTTATATCCAGCTTCTCGTCCACTGTAATCCCCAGGTCCTTTTCTGCAGGAAACTTACATAAACTGCTGCAAAAGACTGGGTTGCCACTTTTATTTTATTTCATTTTTAAATTGATTAGGAATCAGTTTAAACTAATCAGAAGTAAGCCACACTTTAACCAAAAGAAGAGAGTCCACCCAGGGTATTGCAATGGCTTAACTAAATTGGTTAAAAAAATTACTTAATTTAATTGAGTGCAGCCTTCTCCTGTAGACAAGGCCTATAGTTCCAGCGGAGATGGACTAGTTGGTAGAGAACAGGTAAGGTGGTTATAGATGTAAGAAAAATGCATCTTATCATATAAGCTGCGCAGCTATCACATCAGTATCACTTCTGTGAGTGTAAGTGTGTGTGTGCGTATGTGCATGACAGAGAGAGAGAGAGAAAGAGGATCTCATAATTTTGCCAATAACAATAAAAGTAAAGTCACAAATTGTATTTTACGTGTATTAGTTTAGTTATAATTTTGACTGAAGCCTTAGCTCTTGATCTGCTCTTATCGAAGTCAAGAGGAATTTGCTAGTATAAGCCAATGTTTAGCAAGGATCTCAGGATTTTGCGTACAATTATTTGATGTATTTATTATCAGTAATAGAAATAATAACAATAAAAGTGGTAGTAGACTTTGAAGACATCTACTCTTGACGCCTTCCCCTTATCTGTGTGAGAAGAATAAGTGCACAATGCACTGATTATGCTTCTTGATACTGTATCAGACAAGCCAATTGTAATGATTCATTGAGAGAAATGGAGAAAGGGATTAAGCTACAGAAACTTTGCTTTACTTTACTTCTGAATGCGTGTGTCCACCCAGAGGTTTAGTGCACTTGAACTCCTGCACTTCAGCTTCACACCTTCAGTTAATTCATCTTCACTTTCCCGAGTGTCTCCAGGTAGTCACAAGCCCAAGGTCTGCTTATGTTTTACAGAAGAAATTAAATATATCAATAGAAGGGTGTATGAAGAGGAGGACTTCAATATGCTCACTTTTGAAGATCTTCTCTGCTTCTCATATCAAGTTGCCAAAGGAATGGAGTTTCTTGAGTCAAAATCGGTATGTTTAACCTGTGTACAATGTTTAGCATGTAAAGAATAGAAAGATAGATCAAATTAGCAGCAGGCCATCTGAAATAGAAAACTGTGAAGTGACAGGTTTAAACCATATCTTTATTACAGGTTTTAAAACAACCAAAATAAAATACTCCTAGATTGTGCCTTAAGGCTTGACTGTGTGTGAGCCAGGTCTGATGCATATGTGACTAGAGGCGGATTATTGTTTTGTGGGGCCCTGGACCAGAGCAAGTTGGGGCCCCTCCGCACTACTTCTGCCTGCAGTCCCCTCAGCCCTCCCTCCCAGCACTCTTGCCGGGGAGCGGGGTGAGGGTGCAGGGCACAGAGGCACCCATTTTTCAGGCTGGGGACCCTGGGCACGGGCCCCATAGGCCTGTACATTAATCGGCCACTGATCTGCAATAAGATTAAGTAGAGTTTAAAGGCTATGTCCTCCTTTCTAAGGGAGATTGGAAATGCCTCATTCTTCTGTCACAGGGCAGAGTTTGCCTTAGTGGAAGGGGTCAGAGGTTCAGCTTCTTAAACCCATGGGTTCTTGGTGAGCCATACAGATATCCTGGGAGATCTGCTGGAGCAACAAGGACCTTTGTGCTGAGGACCTAAGCCTACTCATTGTTCCCTAGCTGCTAGGGCACCTTGCAGATGTCAGCCCAACCACTTCTATAGAAGCCATGTTGCTTGAGGTTCCCTGATTACTTCTGACTATAAAACCAAACCTTAGGATGTGTCTGTGTCTCCACAGCATAGAGAATGAACATATCCACATTACTACAGATTGTGGGGAGTAGTGGATTATGCCGTGGAGAATAGCTAACTTCCAATCCCCACCCCTTACCGCAGTGCCCTCTCCCACTCCCAGCCTAGATATACAGGCTTCAGTTCCTTCTGCTTGCAGAAGTGAAGAGGGGGTGGGTGGGCTCTAGCCATCAATTAGAAAACATCTGTGGCTCAAGCTATGTATTAGCATTCTGGTGCCCTTTGAAGGTTTAGGTTTATCCAGTGTATAATCAAACTGTATTTCTGCTGCTGCTGTTTTTTTCCCTTCTGAAATGATAGTTGCTGGGGAGAGAATTAAATAAGCCACTCACCGTTCTAATCTCAGCCTTCTCCCATTCCTCATAATAAACAGGTAATATTATTCCATAAACAACTAGTAACTATGACGTTAGTTCTGACATCCTGGCTTCCATTGTACATATTAGCATTGCAAAACCAAGCTATTTCACTTTTCCATTAATGCAGATAAAGTTGTTTGAGCAGGGAAAGGTGCAAGATTTTGCAGATGAAGCCAAAAACAATGAATAACAACTTCCATCTGTTGTAAAACAATACACAACCCTAATCCATTCTTTCTTTACAGTGTATTCACAGAGACCTGGCTGCCAGGAATGTATTAGTGACCTGTGGAAAAGTAGTGAAAATATGTGACTTTGGCCTAGCTAGAGATATAATGAATGACTCTAACTACGTCATCAGAGGCAATGTAAGCTCACGCCTACTTTAAATTTTTCACATAATCGTAAAAACTATAAGGAACTGTTGAGCTGATAAATGCATATACAGTGGGATAGTTGTACTAGCCGGTAGTTATACATGTAGTTGGACATACAGGAAAGTAACCTCACTGTGTCACTGAAAAAGTTTTCTTGCCTTGGCAAATGAAAATAATAGATTTGGTATTAGCCTAATCAGATTTGGGCTGGACCCTGCAAATGTTTGCATAGTAATCTAAACATTAGTTAATTTAAGAATACAACACTGTGGGCCAAATCCTCGGCTGGTGCAAAGCTGAATAGCTCCAGGGAAATCACTGTATCTAAGTCAATATGGCATAACCAACACTTTATAAAACCCACTCTGTTTCATATACTAGAGAAGAAGAGTGAGGGAAGCAAGATCTTAGAAAAGAATACAGGCTGAGTCATCGTTGATTTCAACATGAGCTCCAGAGTAGGAATTTTTTTGGTGTGTGGGGGGGGGGGGAAGAGGGATAATTAGAGCTTGCTCTGTTAATGATTGTATTATTTTAGACTAATGTAAAGGCTTGGGGAGGCTTTTGAGGACAGGGATGAGTAAGGATAGAAAACAAAAGTTCAGTGGCCACACTTAAGAATTCATAGGGACACCCAGGGTGGTTCCTTTGATCTGTGTGAGAATGAGGACTTGGATGGGGTTTCCCAGGTGTGACAAAGTGGGGTTTTATTCATCTTGTTACATTGTATATGAGTCTTACTGTCCTATACTAAAACTGTATACATTTCCCTGTGTACCATGCACCAATTCTTGGGTGGTGGGAGTTGGATGTGTGATTTTTGCTGAGGCCTTCAGGGCAGGTGAGGCTGCCCAGTGCTCTGTACATATGCTATGGTGGTGCCTTCGTAACCTGAGACCCAGGAGGGGTGTGTCACCAGGTGACACCTTTTGCCCTGGAAGCAAGACCAAGAGGAGCAGCTCTCTCTATATATAAAACTAGATTGGAACCTTACAACCTGCCCTAAGTGAGGGGCAGCACACAGCTGCACTAGCCCAGGAGCAGGCCAGAGAACAAACTGTGTCAGAGACTCACAGCTCCTCTCCTGATTCCTCATTGCTCTGGGGCTGGAGCAAGTTACTTCACCCCAGGCCATATGTGTGCCCTGCTGGCTACTCAGGTCAGTGAGTAGGCTGTCAAACCAGAGCTCCTCCCACTTCCTGTCTTCTCCACTCCCCATCCCTGTCAGCTTGCTCATAGTGAGTAGCCCCATCTCTCCTCCTCATGGCCAGTATCATATTCTAAGCAAGATCAAGAAGAGGGGGCCTTAATCTCCTGCATAGCAAAGTAAAGACTCTGACAATGTAGCCCACGTAAGGCAAACAATCTTAGAACCTGTCATACAGTAGCCTCACCTACAGCTTGATGAGCTGTTTGCAGCAGCTATTTAAAATAATAGAATATCAGGATTGGAAAAGACCTTAGGAGGTCATCTAGGCCAACCCCTTGCTCAAAGCAGGACCAATCCCCAAACAGATTTTTGCCCCAGATCCCTAAATGGCCCTCTCAAGGATTGAACTCATAACCCTGGGTTTAGTAAGCTAATGCTCAAACCACTGAGCTATCCCTCCCCCCCAATGAGTCTCTATTTTTCTGTCTGCAATCAGACTTTGATCGTACGTGAGCAGTGAGTGCTCCAAGGGGTTGGCTATATTGTGTGTAGAAAATACTAATCAAGCTCCTTTTCCGTCTCTTTGTACAGGCTCGGTTACCAGTCAAATGGATGGCTCCTGAAAGCTTATTTGACAGGATATACACAATTAAGAGTGATGTCTGGTCTTATGGAATATTACTGTGGGAAATATTCTCTCTCGGTATGTTCTATATCACAACAGAAGAGCACCACTTTTCCCTAGCCTCCTGTATGCTAATATTTCCACAATATTTCTCATAGGTGTGAATCCTTACCCTGGAATTCAGGTTGATTCAAACTTCTACAAACTCATTCAAAGTGGATTTAAAATGGACCAGCCATTTTATGCTACAGAAGAAATGTAAGTGTACATTCTGGATACTGCATAGGGTGGGGATTAATTGTTAATCAAGTAATTATTTTTCCTAATGCTATCTTTATATTTATTCCACTCCTTTGCCCTCTACCCTGCCTAACAGAGTTATTCCAGGCAAAATCACATCTTTCTCTAAGGCTGGTGCAGGATATTTGTTAATGTAGCTTTTGTCTAGAAGCAGAAATTATTATAGGGTCATGATCAGCAATGAACGTTGTATTTGTTTGAAAAGACCAGTTTACTACCTGTTTTCAATTGGTCCTTACATTCTCAGAAAACTTCCTCTTGGGTTGGTATTTCAGAATCTTCAGCTCCATTCATGCAGGAGGGTTTATTTTCTATAGCAAGGGTTACACAAAATCCATTTTAGATACACCTCTACCTTGATATAACGCGACCCGATATAACACGGTAGAGCCGTGCTCCAGGGGGGAGGAGCTGCGCACTCCAGCGGATCAAAGCAAGTTCAATATAATGCAGTTTCACCTATAACCTAAGATTTTTTAGCTCCTGAGGACAGCATTATATCAGGGTAGAGGTGTACTAAATAAAGATCTCTTTAACTTTCTCTTCTTTTTTTACTGAACCCAGCAGTGTCCAATTCAATTCCAGGGAGATGTCAGTGCCTTTAGAAGAGGCGAGTGATAACACAAAAGGGTTTGGGTGGGAGCAGGAGACAGGAGATGCAGGGGCATTGTAACTCTTGTGCTTCTCAGTGTGGACATTACAATCAACATGGAGTCTGATGTGGATATTCAAATTCCATGGAGATTACACCTTGCAAACACCTGTGTCTGTGTGCTCTGCCAAAGGGGAGGAGTCCAGGGGACAAAAAAGGAGAGAGGGGAGAAGGCAGAGGGCTGCAAGACATTGAGCATGAAAGAAAGGGAAGGATTTTGGTTTCTCTGGGCTCCCCATTGCAGATCTTTTGACATTTACTGGGACAGCCTGTAGACATGCTGATATCCATGAGGCCAAGTACACATATTGCAGGCTCTGCCTGTAGATATTGTAATGCCTGGGAAGTTGCATATATACATTACAATGTTTATGAGTCCAGCAGGGATTTCTGTGGAACTTACAAACCCCACAAGGTCTTATGTTGACCTTATAAATTCTCAAGGGACTTCTGCAGAGATTATAAACATTGCATGGACTCCTGTGAAGACTCTGTGTGGACTTCATATAAATTCTACAAAGACTTTTGCAGGATTATGCTCCATAAAGATCTCTATGGAGATTATATGACTATGACATTCACTTAAAGTGGGGGCAGGATCAGCCCCATAGACACAGTCCACCATTTCTTAGGAGGGAAATGTTCTCCTACTAGTCTGAATGTGGAGGGTAGACCAACTGAATCATGTAAACATTGCTAAGATCTCACATGATAAGTGATATGTAATATGATAAGTAACTAACAACCCCAGGGTGAAATCCTGCCCCCTGTGAAGTCCACCAGGGAATTTGACATAGACTTCAAGGGGTGAACAACAGAGTTTAATGTATGCACTCTCATTCTTTTTATTTATCTTTCTGAACAAATAAATCAAACCTGAATTCTTTATCAATATCTTTCTGATACTCCATAATACAGTCTGTTGATCTTTGGCATTTCTGTAATGTCAGTTACCATAGTATTTAACCATTGATACATTTTCTTTGCAAACTGTCACATATTTCTTCTTTTGTTCCTGCAGATACTTTGTAATGCAGTCCTGTTGGGCTCTGGACTCTAGAAAAAGACCTTCCTTTTCACAGCTGCGTTCCCTTTTAGCACGGCAGCTGGCTGATGCAGAAGGAGCGGTATGCAATCATGCAAACACAAGAAATGCTCTGTTTTGCAGTTCTGTATTTTAAATGTATCTTTAGAGTCCATAATAAGGTGTTTGGAAATGATGGCTCCTATTGCTGACCCCCTTCATTAGAAAGGATCCCCAGGGACAGCCCATTATGTCCTGGAGTTGGTTTCTTCCCCTAGCTGAGCCATTCACAGAGGACTGAGCTGAGATGTAGGAGGAATCCTTTTTGCAGAATGTTTTGTGTGTTGCTCTAATAAACCGCCTGGGACATAGGGACTTCCTCTTTCCTGCCTGTTTCTCCAGTCCAATGCAGGAAGGTCACTAACTGTCTCTCTGTGCCCACAGAAACGAGTTCCCCTTTTGTAAAAGCTAATGCAGCTGGCTTTGTGGTCTACTGGCAGTGCTGATGGCTGCTCTATGTGGGGATCTGAGTTGGGACACGTTGCAGGGTGTGTGAGGGGCTGGGAGTGCTGTGGGTGCAACATGCTTAAGTCCTGGAGGAGGCAGAGCCTTATGTCATTCTCAAATGACCCCCCTCTGCCAGTAGAACTAATGTTGACAGGGTCTGGAGGGAGCAATAGTCCACCTTCCTTAGATGGAGATGTGTTATCCTGATGCTGACAAATAGGAATATGACAAATAGGATCCTAAAGGAGCTTATTTTCCCTGCCAGAAAAGTTACCCCAGTGAAAAGCTGAACTAACGCCTTTCAAAGCCATAGGTTCCCAGCTGGCTTCCTGCACTTAGCAGGCCAAACAAATTTCAAGGATGGAGTGTCCTTGATCAGCTTTATGCTGATTATAAATTAACCTTGCTGCTTCTGCCTTAAGCCTTGCTGCAGCAGTAGGCTGACAGTAGTCGTTAATTTAACCAAAAAGGGTCCCTTCTCCTTTTGTAGCTCTCAATAGACTCATTGAGCATGCTCAGTAGAGTGCACATACTGTCATCACTAAGGGATGAACTGTACAAAGGGGCTGGGGTTTGTATGTTGCACATGAGCTTTTGAAGGAGGGTTGCATTGAAGTCCAGAAACAAAATTCCACTGTTGAACTAAAAAAGACATTTTTTTGCCCTTGCACCTTTTATCAGCTGAGATATTTTTCCTCCCAGGGAAGAATTTCCCACAGGGGCTGAATGTTTATTGCTCCTATTCCACATTTTTGCTGAAAAATAGCCTGGATGCACTATCACAGTCTGAATTCAGATGGCAGCAATGTACAAAACTGTTACAGACCATCTAGCATATTTCTGGCTGTTATTAGCCAGCCCTAAATGTGTTGTTGCTCCCCCAGTATTTTCTTGATGTTTTTGTTCTTATACATGTGACAAATGCTACTCATGTCACTTCTGGCACTTCTGGAAGGTGCTCGGATTCTACAGCGATGAGGGCAATATAAGAACTTAAACAGAATGATAGATAACCAGTGTGATACTGGCTGCTAGGAAACTGTGTGCAATAGGTAACACTGTTATAAATGATCATTACCAGAGATTAAACATAAAGAATTACATATAGTCACTAATCCGTTTCAGTGTTCATACCGTATGAATCTCCAGTGCACTAATCTTATGAGGTAATGTGTGCTACTAGGGTTGTTGCAGCAGGGATCCTCTCCCTGTGTGTGTATTGGGGTGAAGTTAAGGAGGAGGTGACTCAAAGGGCAACCCCCTTCTGCCTTCCACCAAAGCAGTGGGGATGTAGGGCGAGAGGTCAGTCATGACCCAGTCCCCCTCCATTGAAAGCAGGGGTCTTCAGAAGACCACTTGTGGGCTGACTTCACCCCTCCAGAGATGCAGGTGGTGCTGTGAGAGTAGATCTGGCCTCAGTTCTTCACAGGTGCCAGGGTCAAGGGTAAAGAAGAGCCAGTAATAGCAACTGAATATACACCTGGCCTGTGAGACAAGATGGGTGAGGAAATATATTTTATTAGACCAGCTTCTGTTGGTGAGCGAGGCCAGCTTTCAAGCTTCTCTCTCTGATATCCTGGGACCAATATGGCTACCACAACACTGCGTATGGTTGAGCTGTTTATTGAGTGCAACCATGAGGCCAAGTTCTGTCTTATTCATATGGCCTCATTGGAAAATCTGAAGGGAAAGCATGTAGTAGGGGCTCAATCCTGCAACTCAATCCAGAGCATTCTAGCTCTGATCCAGCAAAATATATCAGCACATGCTTAACTTTAAGCATGTGACTAGTCCTGTTAAAGCCAAGGGGACTATTCAGGTGCTTAAAATTAATCACATCCTGAAGTGGTTTTCTGCATTGAGGCCAAAGTGCTCAGTACCTTGTGGGATTGAACCTTTGTTAAGGTGCCTGGCAGATCTCCAGTCCAGGCCTAGCTCTCCTGAACAGTCATGAAGAATCTATTCTGCCTGACCTCCAAAACAAAAGTAAGGAAGGTATGTAATGGATCATAGTCACGGAGGCCAAGGAGATGGTCCATGTGTTTGTGCAAGGGAATACCCAAACCCAGCTCTTACACACAGCCCCTTGAAATATTTAATTGTATTCCTAGGTCTTTGCATTCCAGGAGACTGATTTTCTTCAAGTTTCTCATGTCAATAGGACTTAAGGACATCCTTAAGCATATGCTTCAGTGTCTTGCTGAATTTTGGGCTAAATGCACCTGTTTGTCAGATGGGGATCAGATCACTTTCTCCACAGTATTTGAATTTGACCTCATGGTTTGGAAAACGGATTTTTATCCCCCAAACAAATTAACATTATTTAAAGCAAAATGTTCAAGATGCTGGCAGCTAAGCTGCATCTGCTAAAACATGAGCACGCATCCATTTTCATGCACAAAATTCACATGTGGCTTTATTATAACTAGTCCCTTAGTAACAGCAGTAAATTAGTAAATCCAGTTGCACACATTTGGCAGGTACAACTTATACAACTACTTTTGAAAATATGGTCTTAGATGGTTATTAACTTTACAAGAGAGTGCTTAGCAACGATTTACTCTCCAGTACTGTGGTTGCAGTGCATTCAACTTTGCAGCTGGTATTTATTATTGTATTACTTGCTATTTTGCTAATATAGTTACACTGAATTTAGATATGCAAATTCAGTATTATGAGGGAAAACTGGATGCTAATATACTCTGTTGTGTTTAGAACAAACAATAATTTATATGACTTACTTTCCCTTCCTAATATATAGGTCTATCAAAATATGGAGAGCAATATTTCTACACACCCTTCCAATTCCAAAACCAGACCACCTGTGAGCAGGGAAAATGAGCGCCTTCCATCCACTGATCAGGATGAAGATTCTCAGATAAAAAAATAATCCAGTTTCTGGACTTTACTTAGAAATTCATATAAGCTCTGTATATGATTAATGTTTTATGTCACCACTATAAGTAAACAGATTATTAGCTGCTGCTATATTAGCATTTCTTACAGGCAATTCCATCATCTCATACCATGAAGGGAACCTTTATTCAATTTCATTATTTTAAATCCAGAAAATGCATTTACCACAAGCCCGAAGCAATATGTATTTTTAATCAATGACTTTTTCATGCATCTACAACTGAAAACCTTCCAGTGACAGCTTTATGGAAGCTGTATTTAATCAAGGCATTACATTCAAACTACTGTGTGCTGCATTGTAAGCAAACATGAAAATCTTAAGGCATTTTCAAACTTGCGAGCTTTAAAGTCAGGTACCTAAATCCTAGCGCTCTGATTTTTCAGAAGTGCTTCTTACACACAGCTCCCATTGAAGTTAATGAGGCTTGAGAGTACACAGCACCTTTGCAAATCAGACCACTTGATTTAAAGACCTAACTTTAAGCACCTGTGTTTGAAAATGTTGGCCGTTATTGCCAAGAACCTAATATGTTTTTGAGTATTTCTGATCGTTTGATTTTGAATCTTTTCATTCCTTTACATTTCCTGTTAGATGTACAGCTTGAGTTCTTATACTTCTGCCAGATGGACACACTTCATTTTTAATGAGGCTATTCTTGGTACTAATTTAGGGGCATAATCTCATCTCTATGATTCAGCAACTATACAACTCACAGGAGTTTTAATGAGAGTTACATGTATGAATCCCACTGCACTGAGATGAGAATATACCTCTCTATCTCCTTTCCTGCTTTCCTATGAGAAAAATCCCTGAGGTGATTGTTCTTCATATAGATTTGGAGATATATTATTTTCCTGTTGATGATATGGGATGTGTTGGCGCAACTTCTAGGAATGGTAACCAGAGATGTGTGCATAACTCCCAGTGAATCAAGAAGAGAATATGCTTTTTTAACCAGTTTTCTCTTTCTGCCCTACAAGAATTACTAACCACGTTCAGCACTTTCTTTGGTAACTTCAGTAGGTGTATCATTATTTTGATTAAATGGTATCCCATAAATTAAGCTGCTATTTACTAACAAACTCCTGACAATGATTAATAAATCTGTTCTTGTACAGCAATAATGCATTGCATATCTTGGTTAACACTTATTACTGAATTATCAGATGACAATATTATCAGATGACAATATTTTATACCAGATATAAAATCCTACCTTTGAAATGCAAATGTAGCAATAAACTTTTTTGAAATATATTTTTCTTTTGTTTCTGGAAAAAACAAACATGCTTAGTGTATTTCAAAAGGGTTTTATTTTTCGAATATATGGAAATAGGAATAATTTCAAAACACTCAGAAAAGGGACTGCACTGTTTAGCACGTCTTAAAAGCAGATGAAAAGAAAGGGTTGTGAGCCTTCCACAGATAGAGGGGGCCATTTGAACAGGTTTTTGGCCGTTGTGATTTGTAGAGCTCTATGGGATGAACTGTACATGTAGTGCATGCCATTCATGTTACCTGCTGCATATAGCACACACATGTGTGTATAAATATTTTGGGTAAGATTGTGCCCTGCACTGAAGATAGAACAATTGGAACCTCCCTTACAAATCTTGCATGGGCTACCTGGATCTTGGATCTGGGCACACAGTGATAAGTTGGTGTTGTATATTTGCTATTCCCACCTCCAGAGTGTGAAGGGTGGCTGGAGCAGAGCAGAGCTGGAGTAAGGGGGCTTTGAAAGGGAATAATGGCTCTTAGAGCCAGAATTCCCTCTCTGGATGTTCTTGGTTCAGCACAGCAAAGTGCCGGCCCATTCACAGGCTTGTGCAAACCACAAATTAGCCCCTTTTAAGTGGCTACTTTACAATTTTCTGTCTCTCTTTCAAAAAAAAATTAACCTTGGTGTTAAACATGTTGGGTGTTATACAGCAACATGTAGGTGCACAACAGTGACCAGAGAAAATTTATTACATGAGTGTCACAACACTGCAGTCTGATACGGAGAAAGGTACTAGTCACACTTACTGTGTGCAGCTAAAATGTTATTTGAATAATGCCTCTCGGGGCTTCTGGGATGAGGAGGGAGTAATATATGATTTTGTTTCTAGTGCGTTTTTTCCTGCATTTCACCCCAGAAGAGACTAGAATGGCAAAGAAATTTCTCCTTAATAAGGGCTAACAAAATAAAATACTAGGGATGACAGGTAAACTAGTCCAATAGTTAGGACACTAGCCTAGCACCTAGGAGATCAAGGTTCAATTTCTTGCTCTTCCACAGCTTTCCTGTGTGACCTGTGGCTAGTTGGTTGTAGCCTCACTGTGCCTCAGTTCCCCATGTGTTAAATAAGGATGTCACTTCCCTACTTCACAAGGTTATTATGAGGATGAATACATTAAGGATTGTGAGGGTCTTGGCTACTGCTGTGAAGAAGGCCATATAAGTACCTTAAATGGCTAAGTTTTGTACAGGATGGGCTTTATAGCTTTAAATAAGGATCACTGGAGCTGCCCAGAGGATTATGGGACATCAATAAAGCCTATGGAACCATCTTTCTAGTGAAAGTCCCTGCTAGAAAGATGAGAGAGAGAGAGAGAGAGAGAGAGAGAGCACTGAAAACTTCAGAAGAACCATTAAACTAAGAAGCATTTGAACAGCAGTGATCCTGCCACAGCCAAAAGAATGATAACATAGGTTTAAAAATTAATTGGATCTGCTACCATAAAAAACATCATATGCTCCCCCCGGGTTCAAAAAACCGTTATGAAACAGAGAACAAAATAGGAAATACAATAACAAACCAAACTAAAGTGCAAGATACACTCAACACTACCGGCAACCTTCATGACTGAGGCACCTAGTTGCTGCTGTGATCCAATTGATTTGTTTTTATTTTTCTGCTAGGGGCAGTACCAAGTGACCTTGGTCAAATTAGCCAGACTTTTGCCTACTTTTGTAAACAATTGTAAAAGCATCATCAACAAGAGAGAGTCCCCTTACCCCTCAATTAGATATACCTCCCTTTTTGACATAATCATGAAGAGAAAAGTCATGACACCTATACCAGAGGAAAGGCATTTCAGAATCTACATCAAGCCTAAAATGATGGGCTAAATGCATAGCTTGTGAATGTTAAAATACTGTCAAGTATTATAAAGTGTCCATGAGGAGTCGCAGTTAATTACAATTACACTTTTATTGTACGCTAGTATTGAAGAGGAAAAAGCCAGGACAACACCCAGGCATTGTTTTAATGTTGGACACTAGGTGGCACCCTAAGATCACTTTTTTAGTTTTTCTGTCCCGGGTTAGCCCTGCACTACGGTATAGTCGTAGTCATGTATATATGATTTATACAGCTTTTGCATATCTAAAGTTTTATACAAACATAACAGTTAATCCTCACAAAAACTTGGCACCCTGCTCCACCTAGCCCTACCCAAGTAAGGTCCATTGACCTCAATAATCAATATTAACATTTTAAGATCCTGTAACTGCAATAAAAGAAAAAAAGAACTATTTTAAATAGCTCTGCCTTGGAGCTTTTTGTCCAAATTCAACATGGCTACTTAATGTGATAGTCAAGATGGCCCATTTGCTTCCCTCTCTTAGCTATGATTAATTGAGATGGGACAAATTCTGCCCTCAGTCACAATTATACCTATCTCAGGGGTAACTCTGGACAGGATTTAGCTCTACAGGTTTATCATTCAGCTAAGTTTTCTACATAGAACCAGCGTTGTCTAAGTGGTATGGACAGTGGATTGGGGGACTGAAACTCCCGGTGTCTGGGTTTTTTTCTCTGCAACGGTGAGAACTTGAGCAAGTCACTTACACGATCTGTTTTCCCAGTTTCTCCTTAGGCTAAACAAGGGCTGGCAGTTCTTTCTTGCTTGTTTTGCCAGGGCTTTACTCTCCCCTTACAGAATATAAGTAACTCTTATTGGAGTTAGATGCACACGAAGTGCCGGATCGAGCTCATTACCTTCCAAAAGGCATTTTCAAATTGTCATACTTTGGGACCTAAAACCATATTTGACCAAGGGCTAAGGCCCTGCTTTGTCTGAATGTAGAGTTCAGACAACTTAGCCTGAGGAGGGCACATGGGCCAGAGACAGAACTCGCCCCTTGGATGAATCACATCTGAGCTCTAAGGTTAGTTGTGCCCCTAACTCTTCCTGGGGCCTTGGATAAGAGTCTCTGCCTCAGTTCTCCAGATGTGTAAAATGGGGAGATAACTGCTTTACCCACCTCAAAGGTGTGCTGGTGCCTAGGTGGGCACATTATCTCAGATGATAGACCTGCCTGGAAATCCGGTGTTTAGAGAAGGAAACAGAGGTCTGATCCTGCTCCCATTGAAGTCAATGGGAAAGTATCCTTTGGTTCCAGTGGGAGCAGGTTTGGGCCCCATAAGAAGGTTTTGATTTTGTTTGTTTTCATCTTCATGTAGCAAAGAAAGAAAAAGAAGAACAGGAGTACTTGTGGCACCTTAGAGACTAACA